GCAAAGGCAGTGACAGGAGGGCTTGGCGATGAAGGCAGGGAGGTTGCGCGCAGCAGCATTGATAATTGATTACCTATCTTTGACCCAGCGCCGCTTGGAAGCCCAGTTGGCGGCGAACATTTTCACTAGCCTTACCTAGCACCATGGGATGTTGCTATTGGGTGTAGCTGCATGTGCTTTATGTGTTTTGTGCTGAGCAGGAGTTTCAGTGTTCGCAGAGCTGCAAAGATTTGTTCCACTGACAGCAAACCCTTGGTCCTGCGAAACCAGCTGGTGAGAGCATCAAGGTTGACTATCTGTGGCAGTTGAGCATGTGTTGCGCTACTTGTAGCAGGCTGTCCAGCCGCATTATTTTGCGGCTGGCAAGGCAAGCCTGAGGGTCTAGGCGCATCTTTTTTGGCAGACGGTTACCTGTTTTGGGTGTGGTTTGAAGGGGCGCCGCCCCCCGCTCTCCGTTTTGCGGCCCCTCGCAAGAGACACACCCATCTGATCGTTGAGGCGCAATGGGGCGGGCTTGTGTCGTTGGATCATTACTTGGCTGCGCACGACGCAAGGCCCATTTTGCAAGCTAGTTTCGGATGGCGCGGTTCGTATCTTCAGCTATGAAAGTGAACGCTCTGTAGACTTTGGGCGGGTGGGATCGCTCTGGCTGTGGCGCGGCGCGCGTTTTGAACCTTGCGGACTGGGCGTCGGATCAACGGCGGAGCTTCTGTAGTCTTTAAGCGGGCTTGAGCCGCTCTCGCTGCGGCGCGGTGCAAATCGTAAATGTCAAAGTAGCGGACTAGCAAAGATATTGTTCAATCTATAGAGGACCTTTAATAGATGCGCGGGCAAGTCTTGCCACAAAATCCTATCAAGAGATCCTACCCAGAGAGCTTGCGCGCGGACCTTGCCGAGAGATCATCTCAAACATATCTTGCGCTGGTCATTCATAGGAATCTGTAAGGAGCTCTTGCGCAGGGCCTGGAAAGATCTCTCTCCAATAGAGGATGCTCCCTTCTATTGCGCAGAGAAGTTATACACAAATCTCATAAACCCTGTACACAAGACCCTTCCCAGATCTTGCGCAGAGATCCTGTAAAGGTGCTGCCATAGATACTTCCTCTCAAGCAGTCTCGCAGAGACCCTCTCAAGGATTCTGTAGACATAGTGCCAAGAGATCACGCACGCAGATCTTGCGAAGAAATCCGAAATCTTGCGCAGGGCGCCTTGCGCTGATCCTTTTTGCAGAGATTCCCTTTCCCTACTCGCAAAGGGTCCTCTGAGGGATCCTGGTCGGGAGATCCTTCCAAGAGATCTTGCCCGCACGTGCGCAGAAGCCCTGCGCAAATCCACCCGTGTAGATGTTAAGCTGGCCAAGGTCCTGCGTGGCCAGAGATCTTGAAGAGCATGCTCCACACAGATCTTGAACAAAACACTGGTGCAGGGGTTCCTAGAAAGAGATCCTACCCAGATTCAAAAGTGTTTCGGTCTGTGGCCGGTTTGCGTGGCATAGTTAACATCATGAAATACGGGGGGAGAGAAAATGCTTTTATGCGATGGGGGAAAGGCCCACCAAGTGTATATAGATAGATATATATATATATATATTACGCAAACAGAAATATTTTTCTATATGTATACACGCATACACAGCGCGCGTGCTCATGGGCGCTGTGCTCGGTTGCAAAATGTGGGCTTCAGAGTGTTTTTAAGCATCGTCTGACTCGAAATATGATGGGCCGCGATGGCCCGTTTGCTCACTGGATAAGAGAGGATAAGCAATGTGAATGGCACTGTGATCGACCCGTATTCCCTGGCCTTTGTTCAGATGCTTCAAAGCGGCTCATTGTTTGAACGTCGCAACGCAAAATGCGTTGAATGAAATGTGTGTGTGTGTGTGCAAGCTTTGGGTGAACTAATTAAAGCAGAACCAAAGGGGCGCATACCAGTTTAATGTTGGCCCCTAATTTTGGAGGAGCCCTGGACAGGGCAAGCCTCAATAGTGGCTAGCTTCGGAGATGCCCACAAGACAAAAGGCGAGGATTTTTTTGCTTGCTTCAGAGAAAACAGGCAAAACACAAGGCCGGCCCTTTTTGTCTCCTGCCTCTCCAGGTATCAACTGCTCTTCAAAGAGCGCCTAGATCCGGAGGGCCGGCCTGTGTCGTCGGCCGCCCAGATGTCAAGATCCATCGATTTGTAAACCGATTTGTAAACCCGTGCAACCCGTGCCCGGTTTTCCAGAGGTCTCCCCCAACTATTCAAATTGGCTTCAGTTAGAAGGTTAGAGGGGAGCTTCCAATTTGACACACCCAGCAAGAGTGCTTTCAATTCCGGCTTCCCTATTCGAGTGCGGAGGGCTACATTCTTGGGAGATGGGCACAAGACTGATTGGTAGTCATCAAATATGTCATGCTGTTCCAGTTGTGTCAACCCACCTCCACGTCATGTGGCAGGCGGCCAAGACACGACATGGAGTCTCGCCAACATCGGGAATGCAGAAGTACACATTGCTCTGCTTGATTAAAAAAAAGAAAAGAACCAGTGCCAATATGTGCGACCAGTGATCGATGTCAGAACGAAGCACACGTGTCATATGTGAAGCTGAGTGTCATGTGTGAAGCTGAGCGCGGTATTGGCAACAGAGATGCGTTCGATCCACAGTGTTGCTCGCTGGCCGCCAGGAATGCTGAACTGGTACCAGTGTTTCAGTTTCAGTTCTTCCTTTCACTCAGTTTGTATCCGGCTTTGATGTTTGCATTGTTGCTTGGACCAGTGCTGTGGAGACCAGAAACGACAGCTGGTGGAAACGCTTCATGAGATGTGTATTGAGGGTTCCATTGATTCAATTCTTTCATGGTTTCTGTGGGCCTCAGCATGCCCACCAAATTGAGAGGTTAAGACTTCCCAGCACTGCCTAAATTCCAGACATTGGCGCGGTCTCTCGAGCCTAGGTACCAAACTTTCCGCAGGTATGTCGTGCAGGCCAGCCGAGGAAAGCACTCGCTCAGATTCCTGCAATAGGCTAGTCTTTGGTTTTATGAGTCCTTTTTGTATAGTTGGCCTAATTTGAAGATGCCAAAAGAATCGAACGAGCGACTCATGACAGCAGCTGAGCAAAGTGGATCGTGCTTCGGAGAACAAGACCGTAGTCGATGAAATGACCTCACCCTTCCCGCGAATCCTCAGCTCTCGAGGTGCTGAATGGCATTGATCGAGATCCAGTGGCGCAGGTACGAAAGATGTGACGCGTCGGATTGTTTGCAAAGTGAAATTGGAGCCAGCAACAGAGAGGAGACCCGAAACATGGCTCAAAGACATGGGAAACCCCCAACACCACAGAGTGTTTTTGTACTTGCGGGGTGGGGGGTGGGGTGGGGTCGTGTTCGTGGTGTGAGGTGACCTTCTTGCTTTGGAGTCGAGGGAGGCCGTTAGCCCGTGAGAAAACGAAAGCGCAACAGGAAATCATTAAGTAGAGCTGGACTGCGATTGAGTTGGCAAAACGAGACGGAGCAGAGAAAGCGCTGTGCAAGTAAGGATGGGTCCCTGAAAAGGAATGTGATCGACAGTAATACAGCATGTCCGACATAATTTGAGTTTATACAAGTGGTCAAAGAGAGAGCCTTATTTGGCAGCCACCCCTGGACATTGTCATGCGAACGACCATCGCTGCATTCGCACATGATCGCAATTATGATGTATAGTCAGTCTACGCGAGTTGAGCAAAAGCAACTGAGGACAAAACAACACAGCCTTTCGCAGAAGATGGGGATGCCTTGTTTTGGCCCCAAGTGAGAAAATCGCAGTTCGAAGACAGTGGCACAGGCGCTCAGAGTTCAATGCACAAAGAGCGAGGGCTGCGGCATGAAAGGAGATGATGCTGGAGCAGTTCATTGCAGAGGCGAGCCACGCTCCAGTCTGCTAGCAGTTGTGTTGCCAAGACACATGCCAGCCGACACAAGCGCACGGGAAATTGGGCAACGGTGATCCCAGTGGCACCAAATCCGATCCAGTACGATTCTGTTTCGTGATGACCATGTTGCAGGCCATTTCGGCACGGGCAGTTTTTCACGTGCCTTCCTTCGCCAGCAACGCGGATAAGGCCGGCCAACAAGTTGCGCGTGTTGTGATTGAGTATCGCAAGACACTAGGCACCAGGAGAGCCATGGACAATGACCAAAACGTCCAGACACCTTGTCGTGTGTTGATGGGAATGATCAAAAGTCGGATGTGCCAGAGATGGTCAACATTGGATCGGGACAAAACTGCATTTGGATTGAGGTGGCCCAATTCCCACGATGGATTCCGCTAGTTTGCGTTTTGCTTGAGCTGTTGGCTGTTCCACGCAAGCCTGAGGCCTTTCTGCCTCACTTATCCTTTCACGCGAACTCCTTCCCCAGGACTGCGTAGACATAGCCGCTGCCGCTGCGGTGAATAGTTGCCGGATGTTACGAAGCCGCTCTTCCTGACATAGGAGCGTAGGCCACGCACACATTTTTTGGCAGGACTCCGGAGAAGGATGCCAAGGGTGCTGATTTGGCAAAGAAGGCTTTGCTCTCAGCAACGTAGCAACTAGCAGGTTGAAGTGAACAACTCCCTTTGCCAAGGCAGCTTTGGGTGGTGCCTGACAATTACCAGATTGCTTGATGGCCTGAGCAGATATCCTGCAGATTGAAGCCAGGCCAGCCTAATTGTAACTGTGCATGACGGGGAACCGGTGATTGGATGTGTGCGGGCTCGCCGATGCAGCCCAAACCAGTGGTGCCCAATCCTTTGTCATCCCTAGTCAATTAGTTAATTTGCACTCAGCATTCGCGCGAGATGCAGTCCTGAGGAAGCCAGTGCACCCGTCACTTGAGTGCTTCATCAATGGTTTTCCTGCCATTTTTGGCGGCTTGCATTTGGTAATTCAACGTGGCGCTGCTGGACAGGGCTGGCATTGGAAAGGAGTTTCTATCTCTCGATGCACAACTTGGCGACTCTCGGCCTTTCACAGTGAGCTTGCAGACTAGTGGCGACAGGCTCGCTTTCGCACCGCGTTGAAGCCGGACAAGCCACCAACTCAGCAATCTGCATCTGGGATCTATCGCTGTCCGCTCTGCTGTGAGGTTCGGCACGGAGCTGAATGCCTTCATCACGGCAGCGGGTGCCTTGTCTTGTGCTCAAACCACACAAATCTTGGGACAGTGAGGTGTTCTTCCCCTTCATGGTGGGCAAGTGTGAGGCGAGCACACAGAGTGCAGGCTTGTTGGGACCCCACATGCGGTCTGAAACGATGTTGATTTCAATATTGCTGTGTGGCTTTGTTGCAGGTTGAGGAGCGAACGCAGCAGGCCTCGAATGTTTTGCTCAGCTTTGATTTGTGTTATGTGGTGTGAGTGTGTGTGGGGCTGGTGATTGCAAGTGATGGTCAGCACAGATTCTTTGAGAAAGCACCACCTAGCGCCTTTGAGCATGTGACAGGATTTGCCGCAAATACCAGAGGCGGAGGCCTGAAAGCGTGGGTCAGCAGGTGCCATGATGTGTGGCGCAGTGACTGCGAATTCCCAATGGCTGCATTTCCGAGGGGGGGAGACTTCGTGGGATCATAGAACTGACACCTGGGCGCAGGCCTGGAATTGTGCAGTGAAGATCGAGAAGTGCCGCTGGCTTGAAAGGACCCATTGATTGAGCAGAACATTTGCAGTTCTCGTCGGCTTTGCTGGCGCGGATGATATGAATATTGAGTGCATCTCATGAGGGCACGCCTTTTGCTCTGGATCTGAAGAAGTTGATGTCGGCTGCGCAATCACAGTTTCGCTCAACGTACCTGGAGCCAGGTTAGGGCCAACATGAATTGTAGGCAACAGCGAGGGAAGGACGAGGGAAAGTCAGTGAAACCAACAAGCAGGGAAACAGGGGGCACCAGGGATACTGGAGGATTCCCCCGTTTGATGCATTTTGACTAAGTATGGGAAATGGCGCCAAGGGAATCCCCCCATATCCCCGCTCCCTCCGTATCCCCGCTTGTTCGTTTGTCCAAGAAAGCAATGGCTTGTGTCGCTGGTGCTGTCGTGCGAGGAGCGGCTGCGTAGGGATGTGCGGCAGCCCCAGATGCAGAGCGTCTGCACATTTACCCCGAAGTTAACAGCTATCTCCCGTGGTTGGTTCCAAAGTCGCAACTCCGGCAAGGAATAACAGATTTGGGGTCAAGTGAATGTAGGGTAGCAATGTAACTGCGACCACATACAAAAGCGATATAGTTTTTTTATTTATTTTTTTCCACACGCGCAAAGGCCAAGCTAGCGTGTACGGCTTGTGTTGGTAAGTCGTAAGCAAAGGCGCGGGCCTGTGCAAGCGGCCAATGCAGCGCATGTTCGGGGAGGCAGAAGCGAAGCAAGAACAGGGCTAGGGTGTTTCCTTCAAAGATCAATTTGGAGGCCGCCGCATATTCGATTTCTGCCAGTGGTACCTGTTGGCTGTTTGTTTGTTGCTGACGTCATGGTGTTGGAATCAGAATAGCCGATTTTGTTGTTAATCTGAGCTTGCATGGGCCCACAGCCTTGGAAGCTGTGTGCAGAGAGGCTGAAAGTCGGAACTTGGGCACGGATTGGCGCTGTGGCAGGTTCTAGGGATGCCCCTGTCCATGGAGCCGAGCATGGAGGAGCGCGTTTGTATGCAGCATGTGCGGACATTGGGCCAAGCACAAATCCGAGGGAGACCATGGGCCGACATACAGCTGTCCAAACCAAGGAGAATCTTGCTGCTCAACTAGAGACGAAAACGGATTTCTTGCCAACCTTTTTGTGACGCATGTTGAGATTCCAAAAGCACGGGTCAGCGAAGCTCTGGAAATCGTAACCTGGAAGAGCATGGGCATTAAGCCTGTGATTCGTCCGGTCATCTTTTTGGGAGTTGTTCGCGCCTCAGGACCTCAGTTGCACGATGGTCTTCGGCAAAGAACCTACCAAATGGGACCAGGACTGGTGAAGTGGGTGAGGCAATGTGCTTCGACCGCGCGCTGAAAGGGAACCCCTTGCTGGTGTGAATTGGCACGTGTTGCTTTGCATTTCTGACGCTGCCACTGGGCATTCCCGCCACATGGTCGGTTCGGCATTTTTCAGGACGACTTGCGGGAGCAACCTTGCTTCAGTACCTGCGCAACTGCAAGGCATGGAGCATGTGAGCCAGAAGCATTGCAGCTAAACTAGGGAGGTCCTTTTGACCCTTGCTAAATGGAATTACGTAGCAGACTTGCGTTTTGTTTGACCCCAGAGTTTAGTCTTTTGTCTTGGTGATGCTGGTGGCGTTGACGTGCATACTTGCCACTAGCGCAACAAAACACATCAAAGCCACGCACGATTCTCCCTCCCACACTTTCGAACATATTGTGTACGTGCCATGGCTTTTTAATGCTGGGACGATCTAGGAAAAGCAACTTTGAGTTGCCTGACCTTTCGCAACCATGGCACACCACGGGAAAGCACTGAGCAGTACAAAACACCTTCTGGCATCGCTTCCATGGATATTATGTATATATATAATATATTGTATGTATATATATATAATATTGTATGTATATATATATATAGTCTTTATTGTATGCATATATATATATGATTAGCTTATTGCTGTTCAAGTACCAAACATGTTCCAAGGAGCTCCTGTCTCCGTTCTGAGCTACTTATTCAGAACGCTGGTTCTGCTTCAGGTTCCTTCTTGGGTTCTGCTTCAGGTTCCTTCTTGGACATGTTGCATTTGTGCTGCCAGCGTTCACCACATTCGGACTTTGAACCACTTCAGCCTCGCAACGAAATGGTGAATCCCACTTTGAGTCAACGCGAAAGTAGGGATCTCAGAAGCCACCAATTCCATCCACGAATGACATGGAGCATTCGATTGTACCGTGTTGGCAATGTTTTGTTTTTCTTTTTTCTTCGCATGCGTGTAATATACCAATCATATGCATCCGACTGCCGGGCAGGGCGCACTGGGGCGGGTTAATTCATATGTGTGTATATATATATATATATATTATATATGTACATCCATACAAGTACAATCCTTGACTACATTTTTGGGAGCTGCTAAAACATGTTAATTTAATTTTCATGTGTTGTTTGCCTTTGCTCTTTGTTCAGTTAAAAGCGTTGGTGACTTGAAGGAAGTGGATCTATTTGGTGCAGTATGGGCGAGAACAATTCCGGGCGTCAGCAATGTCGGAGCGCCAACTGCAAGAACTGTTCTTGAAAAGTAATTACGACCTAAAGATGATGCCAACAATGGGACCATTGAAGTCCATGATTTCAATTGGCTGACATACAAACCAGTCATCAACGTGACTGATGGGCACTGACACTGGACGAATCTTGATGGCAAATACCAGCAAGCACACTTCGAAGTGGCTTCAAGTTCACGGCGTTGGAAAATTGTGAATGGGTCGACAGAATCCAATACAGTTCTTGAGCCGGGAAAGCGCAGTTTCAGAAACATTGTATGTGACCGAATCTCCATTTAGTCGCCACCCGTCTGCTGTCGTGCCGCTGTGAGCAATGGAGAAGAAGATCTCAGCAACGCTTTCATCGATCCAGACTTCCCACTTTCAGCGCCAAGCATCACAACTTTCCGGAGGCGGACATGAGGCGGACATGGGCAAACCTGACAGGTGGGTGCGTGCAAGAATGCTAGGCAATTCTAGTGAAGCAGTGCTCTTTGAATCAGTGTGAACAGTTTGGGGGCAAAGCTGACACCTGCTGTGCACCTCGAAATGATCAAAGGCTAGGCAGAAGCGGCCATGATTCCCCAAGGCCCTGGGGTAGTTTGCTAAGAAACAGCTGTGTTCCACTGGTTTAGACGGGCTTTATACACTTTGGCCAGGGAAATCCATATATTTGTCCAAACGTCACCTATGATCTTGGTTCTCAAAAAGGCCAACTTTTGAGGTCCAGCACCTTCCAACGGAGCCATTGGAGCATCCAATGCTGATTTGGGTGTGCTTTTTAAAGGGTCCAAAAGGACCCTTTGGTGGACATCATGGTTGGGTGAGAAAGTGTCCAACCGTTCCCTCTCCAAGATGAGTTGGGTTTGTCTCATTCTTGACCTTGAAGCGCTCCTTGAGCTGAGGATGTCTTCTCCCAATCTGGCAGATCTGTGCTGTTGTCTCCCCAACCACCTTTCCTCTCAGCAAAGCTCCAACGATTTTGCACCAAACGGATGGATTTGCCATTGGCCGTAATGAATACGCGCCGAGATTTTGGCACGCCTCACCCAGGTAGTTGTCGCTGCAATTGAAGCTGCTCTGAATCCATTAGCCTTCATGTTGCTGGTGAGGCAACTGGCCCAACGATTCTATAAGTCTGGCAAAACCTCAGGGGTGTGTCAGTCAAAACGTTGAACGCCCAGCTCTCCATGCCGCCGCAGAGCTTGGCTGGCCTTTTCCAGCAACCCCAATCTCCTCACCCGGGGGTGCGCACACAGCCGCATCCTGTCTTGACAGCGGCGCGCACTTGTCGACCACCTTCACCCACTCCTTCTCGATGTACTTGCCATCCTTGCGGTTGAGCAAAGGCAGCTATGGAAGCCAGCAGGTGGCAATCTCCAGCTTCATGTGGCCTTGGCCCACAGCATCAGCCGCATTGAAGACTTACACGACCCAAGCGCTGAGGGCTGAGACTGCTTTGTTTTCACCATGGACTGCGAAGAGAGGAGCAAAACAAGGAGCCTTGTATATGTCCAAGTCGGGGTTCACGCACGGCATCACACTTTCGGGGTGGGGGGGGTTCAATTCAAAACTGGCAGACCCTTTGGAACTACGGCTAAAAATATCGTGTTTATGCATGCCCGCGGCAGGCAGCAAGGCGCCTGCCCCAAATTGACATAATGCTAAGACAAAGAATCTTATGATTAAGCTTGATCATTGGACACAAGTAAAAGTATAATTAACATCGAAATTATAAATATAGAATTGTATATGTTGAATAAAAACAAAATAGAATGATATAATATTATAGATATTGTTAATATTTATGTTGGTTGAAATAATATTATTTTATATAATGATTTAATTTGTTATTAGGATTTTTATTTTATTTGGTTATACAATATAAGATAGATATAAAAATATAGGTTTGAATAAAATTGTAAATTGTATATTATAATATATGTTAATATAAATTAAAAAGATATTTATGAAGGTAAGATATTGGAAGGAATTATTTAAAATTCGATAAAGATTTGGAAATTGTTGGAGTATATTAAGGGAAAATAATATATATAAAAGATAAATCTTTATATATATGAGAATATAATTCCGAAATAATTTGATGTTGTAGAATGTATTGAATTTATATTTTGTTTTATATTTATATTTTATTTTGTATTCGATAGGAAGGTTTTGTTAGGTTTTATATTGGAATTTATATTTGTGATGTTTTTTGTATTATGTTTTTTAATTAAGATTTTGTTAAAATTGTTTATTAGTAAATTTTGGTTAATATTTTATTAGATTTATTTTTTGATGTTGCTAAATATTTTATTGGAATAATTTATTAGTGCATTTTGTTGAGTATTTTATTAGAATGGTTCGTTAGTGGATTTCGCCGAGTATTTTATTAGAGCGATTCGTTAATGGATTTTGTTGAGTATTTGTTAGTGGATTTTGTTAAATATTTTGCTGAATATTTTTTGTTAAAATAACAAAAAAACATTATCCTTTCCAAGCTTTAGAGTATACTTAAAACACGAAAACAACAAAATAAAAAATGTGCGCCGGGTAGGACATTTAAGCAAAACCAAACTAACGAACTATTCTGCCGGAAAATTAATAAAATCTACTAAAGAATATTAATAAATCGCTCCGACTTAATATTACTTAGATACTCGGCAAAATCTACCGACTATGAATAAGAAATTTCGTTTAATACCCTATTGGGTTTTTTTTGGAAAGGGCTGGCTTGGTTTTTGATACCGGAGCCGATAATTGAATTCTCGAAATCGGCTTATAAATAAATGGATTTTGATATATAGATAGGTGGTTAAGGCTTTTACTGAAAATTTGGTTGCCAAACCACTCGAAAACCATGCTTGAATTTATACAACCGTGTTCACGGTCGTAAGCTCGTGAGTGTGTAGGGTGGGGATTGTTCGAAGCAAAATATTTTAGTTTTTGTTTATTTTTATTGATGGTTTGTTTTGTTTTGTTTTTTTTGTTTTTTGTTTATATTTGATTTTTGTTTTTATTTTTTGTTATTTTTTTTATAGTTTTTTGTTTTTTGTTTGTTTATTTTTTGTATTATTTGTTTTTGATTATTTAATTTTGGATTTTGTTTATTTATATATATTTTTTTTTTTTTTTTCCTTTTATTTATTGTTATTGATATTTTGTAATATTTATTTGATTTATATATTTTTGTTTATTTTTTAATTGGTATTTGGGATGGTGTTTGGCTTTAAATGGCTATTATGTTAGCCCGGCTTGCAATAGAATATAATTATAGCTATAATTATTATTTTAAGAATTATATTTAATCATATTAGAGGTAAAAAGACATATCGTATTGTATTTAGATTCCAATTGCAAGTCGCATAAGGATTAAGAAATCTTTTTAAAAATTTGTGGAATTTATAGGTTATAGGGCAATTTTTCTGGGGGGGGTTTTAATAGTCCTTTATAATTCTTTTGCGAAATAATCAGGTTTGCCTGAGGTATGATTTTCGAATGTTTTTGTATAAGATATCGATTCGTTAGCGTTCCCGAAATTAGTGATTCTTCGTTTCTAATTATATATTCTAATATGTTTTTTGTTAAACAATATTTATTTTTCAAATATTCTTTATATTCTAAATTCAGATCCAATATATATAAAAATTCGATTTGTAAAAAATAATCTCAAAATTATCTTTGTGAATAAAGCATGTTTCTGTCATGTCGCATGTCATATGTCTCTTCGTTTTCTTTTTTTCGGTCTATAGGCCATGATTAGAAATAACGGATTGTCTCTAATATATTATAAAATTCAATATTTTATTTACTAAAAATAAAATAGAATTATCAATATTTATTTTCAATTAGCTAAATTTACTATATAGTTAATTTCTATTTCTATATATATATATATATATCAATTCAATTAAATCAATAATTATATTAAAGAAATATATATTTATAAATAATATATTATATATATATGATATTTATTTTATTTAAAATATATATTTTTTATTTTTTATATAATTATATTACTATAAATTCATTCTATGTACATATATATGTTTTAAGAATTTCCTGTTATATGTTTAAATATATATATATTAATAATATATTAATTATAAAATTTATTAAATCTATATTTAATATTATTTATATAATAATACTAATAATCATCCATTATTTCCAATAACAATTCATATACCAAAAGAAAGAAAATGGATCTTAAAAATGAGAAATATAATATAAATCCAGAAAGAATTATATAATTCTAAATGTTTGTTTTCGAGATTTATATTATCGAATATATATATTAGGGTTTGGTTTACAATATAGAAAATAAATAATTAAAATATACAAAATAATGAAGAACCATTAATTTCGGAATGCCAACAAATCAATACAAAACACCCATATTTTTTGTTAAATAAATAAAGATTTCCATACCATGGGATTTGCATTCTTTAGAAACCCCGCCGCGATCGGCGGACACAAAAAAAAAGACAAAGAAAAATAGGAAAAAGAAACAAACAAAAAACACAAAGAGAGATAAATAAAGACAAATCAAAATAGAGAGAGACAAAAAAGAGACAAACAAATACATAAAAAGACAAAAACACAAAAACACAAAACCACAAAGACACAAGGAAACAAAAATACAAAGATACTAGCGGGGGCCCGCTGCTTTCCAGCAGCGTGCGAAATGAAGCCCATGGGGCAAGAGAATAACAGAATCAGAATATCAAATAAAAAATATTTTCCAATTTAATAATTATAAATAGACATGCACGATCATATTCATAAAGATAAAAATAGGCAGACCGAGCAAATGCTTAACAAAAAACGGTTTCGGAATATTTCAGAAAAAATAAATGACTGCGATTTTAAGCCTTTGCCTTAGACCCTACCTAAGCAAAACACTTTGAAAGACTATACACTACACTAAACTAGAGACCCAATTCTGGAGACCCAATTCTAAAAACCCAAATATCTAAAGACGAGTTTTCTCAGGTGCAAAATGAACTATTAATCTCAAAAGATCTATTCCCATACATAATTGTTACAACGCACACGAAAACACCATCGACCAAAAAACATCCCAAGTACAAACAAATCTAAACTAAATAACACATCGCTAATCATAACAATCGATTCTTATATCGCCAAACTCTTACAAAACAAGCACAATATGTCAACCAAAATAATAATAGAATATCTAAATAAATTATTTTTCTAACCTCCCAAAAAACATCCATCATAAATATATTCATTCCATAACAAACTATTCCTCCATAAAGCTTTCAACCAAAACAAGGCCATATAACATATTCAAAAACCAAACCAAAACAACGACCAAAAGATTTTCGAACTTCATATCCCAATAATATATATCAACAATCTCTATCACCAAATTATTCAGACTTACTCTCTCAAATCTTATAAACACCTAAACACAATATCCTCTTTCCATTAAAATTATCCTAATTCTTTCAACAATACAAATATAAAGAGCGAGCCCTAAATTTTATAAATTCATAACAATTAATCTATGCAATATTATAATTTCAATTTATATAATATCAATTTCAAACAAATAAATAAATCGACAAATAAATAAATAAACAATACAAAAAACAAACACACAAACAAACAAACAAACAAACAGAAAAACAGAAACAAAAACACAAAAAAAAACAAAAACAAAGACAAAACAAACACAAGACACACACAGACACACACAGACACACACAGACACACACAGACACACACAGACACACACAGACACACACAGACACACACAGACACACACACAGACACACGCAGACACACACAGACACACACAAACACACACAGACACACAGACACAGAGACACAGACACAGACAAACAGACACAAACAGACAGACGCAGACACAAACACAGACACAGAAACAGACACAGACACAGACGCAGACGCAAACGCAGACACAGACACAGACACAAACATAGACACAGACACAGACAGACAGACAGACAAAGAAACAGATACCAGAGACAGAGAGACCAACAGACAAAGAGAGACAGAGAAAGACACCGACAGAGAGACAGAGACAAAAAAAGACACACCTCCAGCGCGCAGCGCGCCGGACTCTAATGTCGACATGCCGCAGGCTTCGCCTGCGCGCGTGCGCGCGTCCGACTCCAAGCCCGTGATGCAGACGGGCTGCAAGAACGCGCGTGCGAGCTTTCGGCTGCGCGTGCCCCAGTTGCACGCGCCCAGTGGAGCGAGCCAGTGGGAAACGGTTTGTCACGCGCTTGTCTCGGCGCTGCCCCGCCGCTCTCATTGCCCTCCACGACGGCTGTATTCTGGCCCGCGGCCAGGAGGTGGTTGCAGGTGTTCGGCGGCCCTCTTTGGATTGGGCACCCCGGGTTGCTACTGGCGCGGTTTGGATTGGTAGTTTGGATCGGTGTTTTGGAGGTTAGGGGGTGGTTTCCCATTCAACTTCAACATGATCCAGGGGTTCAATCCCCAAACCACCAATCCAAACCAGCAATTAGGGTAAGTTGAGGCGGGTGCCAAAAAAGGGCCGAGCTCTCAGGGGCCAAGGTCCAGGCCGTGGCGGGTGTGCCAAGAACTAAGCAAATCTTATAGAGCCCGCGCCGGCAAGACATTTTTTGCAACTCAGGCACCAACATATTTTATCAAAAGCATGCTGCCGTTCTCCAAACACAGGTCGCAAGACGCACTGAGGGCCGGGCTGGTCGCGATAAGGTCACGCCAAAGAGTCAGTGAAAGGCGGTCGCCTGAGCAAGGTGAGAACGGATCCGCGGGCTGTTGGCCTCAAAAGATCCATCCACACACGCAGCTGTTGCAAGCGCAGCAATCGAGCAGTAAACATCCTGGGTGCAAGCAAAGCCGAACTGATTTCGCCCAAAGCATTAGGAAAAACGCCGCTGGTCGCAACAATCGGCCGCGGCTCACAGCTTCTCGCATCGCCAAACTCTCGGAAGACGGGCGCAAGATTTCAGCCAAAATGGCTACGGGCAGGCAGATATATGCCCCGACTCTTTATCTGGAAGACACAACGGCTTCACTCAAAGCCCGGACCATTTTTCCGAAATATCCCGGATGTTTCGATAATTGTACTCCAGACCATGTTCACGAAATATTCCGGATATTTCGACGATAGCATTTCCCGAAATATTTGGAATATTTCGGGAAAACGGTCCCCGAAATATTCGGAATATTTCAAGAAAATGGTGGGTGGCTGCGATTTTCCCGAAATATCTGGAATATTTCGGGAAATTGGTCCCTACAAAAAATGAAGCCACTGCATCTTCCGGATTATGGCCGGGGTAGCCCGGACAGATTTGGGTAAGCGGTCCGTAGGAAATATGAAGCGGTTGCATCTTCCAGGGGCAGCCCGGACCAATTTTCCGAAAAATCCGGGATTTTTCGGAACAGCGGTCCGGGAAAACGCGTCGCACTTTTCACGGTTTCGTTTTATAGAGTAAATAAAAACACAGAAAGAACCAAAAAGACATAAAGACGCACACAGAGCCACAAAGACACACACACACAAACAAGGAGATAGAAAGCTAGAGAGACAGAGAGACCGAGACAGAGAGACAGAGAGACAAGGAGACAAAGAGAAAGAAAGACAGAGAGACAGAGAGACAGAGAAAGACAGAAAGACAAAGAAACAGAGAGACAAAGAGACAGAGAGACAAAGAAACAAAAACAAAGAGAGAGAAAGAGAGAAAAACAAAAAAGAATGATTTTTTTTAAAAAAAAAACGAGAAATTTCGAAAAATAACCCACTATTTTTTCGGAAAATCACCCAAACTCTGCAAAAATGTGAGAATAACATCTAAATATCCAAAGTCGGATCGCTAAAAACGACCTAAAATTTAGCAATATTCTACCATAAAAAATCTAAATCCCCTCCCCCAATTTTCAAGGATTTATAAATCGTGTTTAAAAACAAAAATATTTAATACAAATAAAATAATAACCGCTCTATAACAACTCTATAGTACACAAAAAATATAATCCTCAATGCATATCAATATATAAAAAAAATAAAAACCAAGCATCATAATAATATCGTTAAATAACTGTATATATAAATAAATCAAATAAATTATCGGTTTTCAAAATTTTATCAATGCCAAAATATATATTACTAAAGAGAACCCATTAATTCCATCAACGGCAATATCAACAAAAAATCAAAGAGGAAGGAAAAAAGAGAGAAAAAGAGAGAGAGAGAGAGAGAGAGAGAGAGAGAGAGAGAGAGAGAAAGAGAGAAAAGAGAAGAAAAAAGAGATAGAGGAAAAAAGAAAAAGATTAAGGAAAAAAGAAAGAAAGAGAAAAACAATGAGAAAAATAAAGAGAAAAAACAAGAACCAACATAGAAGAAAAAATGGAAAAAGAGAAAGAGAGAGAGATAAAGAAAGAAAGAGAGAGAAAGAAAGAAAGAGATAGAGATATAGAAAAAGAGAATGAAAGAGAGAGAGAGAAAGAGAGAGAAAGAGATATAGAAAAAGAGAATGAAAGAGAGAGAGAGAAAGAGAGAGAAAGAGACAAAGAGAGACAGAGAGACCCATGGCAGGGAGGAGTTGCTGCTGACGAAGATGCCTGAGGTGGTGCCAACGGCTTTTCCAGGGTGTCTCCGGCCCCGGGAGAAACCCGCCGATGCCCCAACAGGACCTAAGCAAGTTACCCCATCCTATGGGCGATGAAAAAAAAGAGAGAAAGAGAGAGAAAGAGAAAGAGAAATCTCTTTTTTTTCTCTCTCTCTTTCTCTCAGAGAGAAAGGGAGAGAGAAAGAGAAAGAGAGAGAGAGAGAGAGAGAAAGAGAGAGAGAAAGAAAGAGAGAAAGTGGGAGACAGAGAGAAAAAGAGAGAGAGAGAGAGAGAGAGAGAAACAGAGAGAGAGAAAGAAAGGAAAAAGAGAGAGAAAGAGAGAGAGAGAGAGAGAAAAAGAGAGAGAGAGAGGGAGAAAGAAAGAGAAGGAGAGAACAAGAGAAAGAGAGAGAGAGAGAAAGAGAGAGAGAAAGAGAAAAGAGAGAGAGAAAAAGAGAGAAAGAAAAAGAGAGAAAGAGAGAGAGAAAGAGAGAGAGAGAAAGAGAGAGAGAGAGAGAAAGAGAGAGAAAGAAAAAGAGAGAGAGGGAGGCAGGCAAGCAAGAACAAAAGCAAGCAAGCAAGAACAATGGCAGAAACAATCAGAAACGAAAAGAACGATAGAACGAAAGGAAGCAAACGGAGCTTAAAAGGGGGAGATGCGGCACGCGACAACGCGGAAGTGTGCCATCTTTGTGAAACGACCCGCAGAAACAAGCGCAGATAGATAGAAAGATAAAGACAGAGACAAATATAGACAGACATTACCAAATAGACAGACGCGGACACGCGGAAATAGACAGAGAGACACAAAAAGACGCAAAGAAATAGAGACGAACGACAAACACGGACACATAGAGACAAACAGAGACAAACCGAGACAACCCGAGAGACAGAGAGACACAGACAGACAAATAGAGACAAAGAGGCGCAAACACCAAAAAGAAACAGATTGGGATACACAGAGATGCACAAAGATAGACAGAGAAAGACAGAGAGTACGAAACAGATAGATACGGACACACGGAAACAGACTGGGAGACACAGAGAGAAGCAAGGATACGGAGACACCCGGCACGAAATTTTCGAGAAATTTCGACTCGGACAGGTCCCCAAATTTCCCCGAAATTTGGCCCAGTATTTTTTCGGAAAGCCGCCAAATTCTGAAGAAATTTGCGGGGGTAACGTCCGGAAACCTAAGAGCCGCGTCGCCGGAAGCGACCCAAAATCCGGGAAAATTTGGCCGGGTTACGCCGCGAGAACTCTAAGCAAAGTTGTTAAGAACCCCCCCCCCCCCTCCCCCCGAAATTTCGGCAAAATTTCGGGGCCTTCCGGGCCGCGCGAAGAAGCGGGAGTTTGTGCCGCGGACAAAAGACCGAGACAAGCATAGCCGCTCGCCGCAAGCACTGCGATTCGGCCGGAGTACCGCTGCAACGGCTTGCCGGTGCACGGGAAATGCGACCTCCAGTACCGGTTTATAGGAGAATAACATATACACCAAAACCCATTAATCTTTCCCAAAAAGTATGCCTCTGTAAAATAATTACATAATAAAAAAAAAAAAAAAAAAAAAAAAAAAAAAAACTTTTTGCATATTAGTGCCGTAGCTCCTTCACGTGCGCCATAAGTCCACACTTATGGCAACTGACAGCAATTGAGACAATCGCCTGCTGAGCATTGCGTGCACATACCCCCTGATTTGGTCTGCCCTTGTCTCAAGGCTCCTAATTCCAGGACACTATCATAAGATATGTTGAAGCATGGCCGCTCGCCGCCGAAAGCAAATGCTCAGATGGGAACTCTTGTTGCAAGCCTGAAGCCTGGCCAGCTGTTCCGTAGACATCTGGCTAACTCAAGCAGCTCGCGCCCAGGAGAGCCAGTGAGTCACTGCGCAGGATTGCAATTCTTGCTTCAGAACTGGCCTTCGATCACAATCCCATTCACTGGGAGACTGGTCTCCATACACTTCTCTCTTCCCACACTGATATATCCTTGCCTGTGAATAGTAACCCTGCAAGCAAACAGCGGGCGCAACTCATGAAGCGGGTCTCATCAGCAAAATGGTGCTCGTCCTTACTTCCGGAAGAGAATGCAAAGACGAAATGAGGCTCTCTGCCAACTTCATTGCATCTAAGCAGCTTCTTTGCCATGTCGGGCATCACCGACCTGACGGCAGCGGCACACTCTCGGTTTGTCACTTCAGCCACCTCAAGCCCTCCAAGGAAGCGAATGTATTCGCACTCGTTGCACGAATCAATTCACCTGGGACCTGCCTCCCCCATCACCTCGGTCACCTCGCTCGCCACCACCACCACGGTCCCCACGATCTCCACGGTCACCGCCACCGCGCTCACGGTCACCTCTGTCCTGGCGATTTGAGCCTTGCAACTTGCCGATTCACCGACCTCGGGCACATCCATTCGGCCCTTGGGACAACCACGCAGCTTCCCGCCACTGTGCGGCTCACCCTCCCAGCTTGCACGTTTAGCTTTCTAGCGCGAAACAATGCCCTTTCTTTTGCGGCCGAGCTTCACGACGATCATCCCGGCGGTCACGGTCCCGCTCCCTATCTCCTAGGGCAACTACTATCCAATCGATGCAGGCACACACACACACACAGACACACACACACACACGCACAATCTCTCTCACACACACACCCCGCAGAACTCATCTTCATGCTGTGACAAAGCCAGGTTGCGGTCACGATCGCGCCTCTCCCTGGCACGAGGATGCTCATGCCAGAAGTCCGCAAATGAACATGGGAGGCACTCCAGTCCAATGCAGCGATCTCTCCGCAATCTGTGCTTATGCCAATCATGCATCCGCGCCTGTCGTGTCGACCACCTTTTGATTCGTCTCTACCACCTCTAGGCTTGCTGCGGCTTCGATCGCGGTCCTGCCACTGTCGGATCAAGCACTCAAGAACCTGTTGTAAAGTCCAAACGGTGCAAATTGAGCCCTGCGAGTGCCAGCCCAGAATTGATGAGTTGCCAGGGACCAGTGCCCTAAGGTTCAATCACGGGCACAAAGACAAAAGGGACAAAGCGCGGCTGAACACAAAGGCACATTCTCTCCTTCATAGCATCTCGGAGTTCGCGCTCATGGATCTGGCTGGAAAGATATGCGAACGGCGACAGAAATCTGCTTCGGAGCTCTGGGGGGCATTTAGCGACTCAATTCAACGTGTTCAAGGGCATCCCATTGGGTAACTACTATTGGGTTTGAAAAACCACTACAACGGGATGGATTGCCTTTGAACCGCCCAGGTTGAGAGTTTCAAGTTTCCATCCATTTATCACGTGAAGATGGCAGTGCTGGCTCAGGCCCCATCCTTGCTGCCAATAGCAGCCGCGTACTCCGGATCCTGCGGATCTTCCAGTACCAAAAGCTTTCAAGGAGTTCCCATGTCTCTCTTCCCTCTTAATTTTGACTTATCCCACAAGTCTTCCTTCATCAATGGGCCTGTTTCATGCCACCATGGTCAGGCGGTCCAACCATGCTTCTAGCTTAAGCAGAATTGCCTTTCTTCTCCAAATCCAGAGATGCATCTGTGCAAAGAAAACGACTGGCAGCACAATCGAATCTGCATCCTTCACCGGCTTGCCATCTCGCAGTTCACGGAGCATCATCATCATCAAGGAGGATGGCTTGTTGGATCTTTCCAAATGCCTGGGAAGCAAATTCAAGCATTCAAGCACGAGCCACTCCAAATCAAGATCGGAGTCTGAACGCCGTAAGGTTGGCGCTTGGCTATCTTTGCAAGATCGCCGTCAATGTCATCACGACCCTCCATGACCTTCCAGGCACAAAGTGCAGTATGGGAATAAGAAACTCGTTGAAGCCCTCAAATGCTCTCGTGGGCAGCAGTGTATGGAATGCAACTGCTCCAGACATGGACCAATATCTCTATCCGTTAGCAAGTCAGTGTTGCTTCACATCTGCTTTCGACATATGGGCACCTCAGAACTGTCTGGCTCTGCTCTTCCAAACACTGCACAGTCCAGTTCTCCCAAGCTTGCAGTCAGCATGTTTCTGCATTCAAACATGCACTTCGCATGTGGGGATTGCCTCCCTCAGGTCTCACTTTCTGCCAGAAAAAAAAAAACTCGGCGCACAAGTGAGCACCCTCCTAATGATCATCAAGCCTTGGTTGGCAAACAAATGATGCTCTCCATGCCAGCAAGGCCGAGTCAATTTCAGGCTGATGTTCCCCAAGCTAGTGGCTTCACGCTGCCCACGCACGCCCCGAACGGGCCTCGCCCAGCTTCACGGCGGCTTGTGCATCCAATCGATTCCGTTTTGCGAAGTCTTGGATCTGACAGGCAAATGAATCAATGAACATGACTCCGAGGGGAGCACTGGGTCTGTTTTTGTTTGGTGGTGCCCTTTTTGTTGAGGGTTTGAAGGGAAACCAAAAGGAAAACCACCATTTCATCAGGCCTTGCAACTACCAAGACGGAGCTGGCCTTCTTGTTCAGAGCCGTCATGCCCTTGAAGACTCCCATGCGCATGTCTTTCAGCTTCATCATCAGCATTCCTGTGTGGGCTTCTTGATCCGGCATGGCTCATAATTCGGGTGATGTGCCGAGGAATGCCATGGCCATGTGTGATCTAAAGTCAATTCACATGCAAGAGGTAGGGGACATGTCTGTATCTCGCTCACAAAACGACTGCCAAAGCATTCAGTCCTGATGGATTCTTGGAGCCCTCCAATCCGACCCAAAGAGCCTGCATATCTGACTCAAACCTTAGTGCGGTGTGGCATACCTCTTCGTACCCATGTTGATGTCACTGGTGAGCAAAATAAATGGTAAGAGTGAGGTTCTGGTTTCGGATCAAACGAAAGGCGGACCTCCAATGCTTGCCACGGAACGAGCCCCGTCGCTTTTTCATCTCTTCATCCAGCGCACGCGTGGCTCTCTCGTCTGGCAAAGTGTCAAGCGCAAACGTGCCGTCAACACTTTGACATGCTCGCATCGGTTTGCGTCTCGTCGCGTCGTGCCTAGGCCGTGGTACTCTGCCAACTCCTGCACTTGCGGGTCAATGCCGGCACTCTTGATCTGCTCGTACTCCACGGCGACCTGCTGGAACCTGACAGAGAGCGAGGTCTTGGCAGCTGATAGACATCCTGCAAACCTCAACTTCCGATTCTCAAACGGACTCCAACTTCAGCTTGCCACACGGGCTGTGGGAACGGGCTACTCAAAGTACTTGGGCCCAGCGAGCGTCTGCGTGGCTTGCCTCATCTGGGCCAATGCCTCCGAATCGAGAGATCCCGGCGGTGGCATTCCTGGAGGCGCGCACAAGTCACATGCGTGCAAACTCATGCATGCATCTTGGAGGTGACATCGCCATAAACTGGCCCTTGGCGGCCCTTGGCCCAAACGCAGCTTGGAGCGAGACGCAGCAAAGAACCATCATGACCCTCGTATGGCTGGGGTGACCTTTCCCTCCAAAACTCACCGGGGCTTCTTCACTTTTGAGCTCTGCCTGGCAGCCGTGGCGGCGCCGCCATGCCCGGCAGCAGACCCATGGCACCCATGGAGGGCATCCCCGGCAGCCCCATTCCTGGCGCCTTTGGCGGCATAGGCAAACCTGGCCGCGCTTCACGCGGACATGTGGCCAAAACATGCGTGTCCACTGCTTCCAAGGAAAACCAGCAGGCGACCATGCACTTTTCCGGAACCCCAACATTCAAAACAGTTCTTTGCCAAGGCCAATTTTCCTGGCAGAAGCAACACTCACTTCTAGAGTTTGACAAACTCTGCCACTCGGCTTCGTCAACAGCAATGATTCCTAAACATAATGGATGTAATGTTGCCAACGTTGCAAGCTCCGGCCTGGCCGCATTTGTCCTGGCATCCCAGGCAGCCCCGGCAGCCCCATCTGCAACCCGGGCAGCTGGCCAGGCAGCCCTGGAAATTGCCCCATCTGCCCCATCTGCGGCATCTGTGGCATCCCCGGCATTTGCGGCATGATGGGCAGCCCCAAACCCGGTCCCGGGGGCGGCGCGGCTGCCCCGCTGGCCGGGGCTGGGGGGGTAGGCACGGGGGCGGAGGGGAGGGCCGGGGCGGCGGCTGGGGCTGGGGCAGCGCCAGGCGGTGGTGGGAAGCCCAGTGCTATCGGGTCCAAAGCTCCTGGCCGATTCGAAAGCTCCCATTTGGTGGGGCATAACCTATAGCTCCATTTTGGGGTGGATGAACATGGCACAGGGTTTTGACCCATTTGGCTAGAGACGAGTACTGTATGGTTCCGTGCTCCTGCAGGAACACTCGGAAATGGGGCATCCTCGCCGCCTTCCTGGCCAGGGCAGAGCATGACTGAACGTCAGGCAGCATGCCAGGTGCAGCTGGGCAACTCCCCCACGCTTTCTCCCCATGGCCAAAGTCCTTGCAGAGCAAGTGTCACTGGCACCAAAAAGCTTGCCCCGGCGACCCCGAAAGATGTGCTCCGGATGTGTTGGTTCAAGGTCAATGCTGAGTTGAAACCCAACTAAAAGCTTCAAGGCCTGGAATTCAACGTGGAGACACATCTGGCGTCAGACACAGCTTTAGGACCCTGGAAATTACTTGGAAGCCGGCCAAGTCTCCCAGCTGCTCCGCTTGCTTTGGATGTACCTGGATGCCTGGTGCCCGTTGGCTATGGCAAGTGATACTCTTGAACCTCTGCTTTCTGGCACGCCCCTCAGCTTTTGTGAACAAGGCGTGTAAGCTCAGACATGTGAAAGTGTGTTCTCTTGCTGCCCTCCACGTCGGCTCTCATTTAGCATGTTGCCTATTCCTTGACCGAGGTGTTGTGAGATGGCAAATGACACACGTTGCTAAGTGAAGCCGCTCAGTATCCATGAACTGTTTGTGGCCACCTGTTGAGCCAACCACGGCAGTCAGACTGAACGTCTCCACCAGGCATCGTGCCGTTGCCTCAAGGCCTCAAGCCTGCTCTCACCCGGCTGGCCACTACGTTCATGCAGCATGCAGCTGCGCGGGCCCGTTTTCTTTTTTCGCTCGAAGTGCCCGGCTGTTTTAAGACCACTGGGCCGCCGACTACCATGGCCGGCGTCCATGGCTGTGGAATCCAATAATACTAGGAAGAGTGGTTCATCTTGCAGGTGAGGGGAAACCGGCCGCCAGTGTAGCACGACAAGAGATCGACCCCCGCACTTTGGCAGAGCCTTGCTCCGCTGCTGGGGTCGGCATAACCTCCACAGCTTCTTTGTCCACTCCAGTTGTCAAAAAGGGCCACTGATGCAAACCTTGCGGAAGGCTTTGAGGCTCAAACTCCAAGGGCTAACTTTGCTCAAGTGACCCCACTGGAATTCTTTCAGCTCTGCCAGATCCTGCGACTCGCGTCAAGCTGTCTGGGGGCGGGGGGGCCGAACTGGAGCCCTCCCTCGGCGCGAGACCGAAAGGCGGCAACCCCAGGGGCCCCAGTGAAAGACTGAGTGCAGCTTGGGAGGGTGCTCCGTTTGCGGACAAACCCATGTTCCAATGGCCTAGCGTCGTGTTCAAATGAAGGCAATGACATAGCGCTGCCCGCTGTTTTGGCCAAGCTCTTTGAAGAGCAAAACGGATGAGGCCGGCAGACTATGGGTCACCATACATGGTTTGGGGGAACATTTACGGATTCCGAAGAACAGGCAGGCTGGCAGACCTCTTCAAATGCTTTTTCACCGACCCATTGTACCCAACTAGTACTGGTCGCAAAGGTGTTGCCCTGATCATATGTTCAGCAAAACGAGTGGGAAGACTCGTTGGACAACCAACGGGGTCCACACAACATTCTGTCTGTTGTCTCCAGGCTTTGGGATCATGCAAGCTATTGTTGGTTCCACTGCATAGTTGCGGAGGCCCATCTATGGCTATGGCACTCTGCGTGCAGCAACGTCAACCATTCAGGATTGACTCTACCATGGTCGATCTCTGGAGAGCTTCATCACAATCTGAGCTAAAACCAGTAGAGGAACTCCTGGCAAGGATGTTGACTACTGCTCAAATGGAGCGTCTGGGATTATGGAAGGGTCCCAACGTCATTCCCATCGCAGTCCTTCACTAGCTGTTGCGCTGGCACTCCATGGCAGCCCTGCGCAGATGTGTCGCATAAAGTGTCTGGCTATCCCCAACATACTGCGATCAGTGCAGTACATGACATGTGTTTCCAAGCACAAAAACACTCAGCACCAAAATGTGCTCTGCCGAGGCAAAGCTTTGGTTTGCAGTCTTGCAAGGTGGGGCCACAGGCGATGACTTGGGAGCCCACGAGTTGATCGTACACCAGGCAATGCCTCAGACTTCAGAGTGACTTGCGCCATGGTCAACATGCGTGCACGCGAGATGGTCATGGACTACGCATATCGAAGCACCAAATGTGCAGATTGGACCACTTTCACATACTAAGTATTTGCCAAATCGATACTTCCTTGCCTGATGCCCTCATAAACACACGCATTCAATTATTCAGTAACAAATGGAGGTGGAAAGAAGAATGACTGAACGAGAGCAGACATGAAAGCAACTCAACGGCTTTCATCCCTCCATCATTCATCTCCTGTCTGTTAAAAACCAAGAGTTGTTACGAGATAGAAATGAGATTGTTCATCAGAACGAGATGGCCTTCAACTGGTTAACAGTCAATGAAAAAGGCGAACGGCAGAAGGGAGTGAACCGTGGGTTACCTATTTCCTCTCTCACCGTAGGTTCGTTAATTCGCTTTCACTTGTCAGATCCTCTCTCCAAGCCACCCTCCCAACCGATTCTTGTTTGTGTGGAGGTGGGAAGAGAATAGCAAAGAGACATCATATCCAACTTGAAGTACATCAAGCCCAGGAGGACAGCATGGAGGCAACCAAGCCAGCAACAGCGAGAATGGCGACAACCGGCATGATCAAGATGACCCGAGCCGCCACAGCATTTGAAAGTGACGAAGCAGTGCAAGTACACCAACAACATCAAGTATGCCATGTCATGATTAAACAGCAAACACAAGGCATGGCAGCAAGTGCAATGCAATGCAATGTGTTGCGCAGCATTATCGCGGCATTCTCCGTTTGGCTGGTCCTGTGACAAACCGATTTGAATGGCGCATGGACCTCTGCCATCTGCATCATGTGTGTCTGCAAATGGAAGCAACTGCAATCTGTGGCGTGGACATGTCTAAGCATATCAAACATTGTGTTGCCAACTTAAGAGCACATTAATATGAAGAAATGAAGGGAGCCAGAAGAAAGCCTGCTGTGCTGGTAGTTTGTAGTGTTGGTCTCAAGTAGTGCAACACCTTTCTCCAACATGTATTAGGCTTGTCATAGGAACGTGCACAAGGACTCATTCCACATCTGCACCGGCGATCAGGCGACTGGCTTCTTCAGTCAGGATGCTGATCACTGACCGGTTCAACGTGGGTGATGCCAGCATCACCACCACTATCTGGCATTGCAGAATGCAGGAGTGTGCGATCCAAAGCTTGGCATGTTGCAAACAAATGCTTGGACGCGAATGTAGGACCGTAGGGCGCTTTGTTTGGGGCTAAAAAGATGCACTCACTCCAGACGTTTGTATGGCTAGATCCAGCTTCTTTGAATGTCTGTTACACCTTGAGTGGGAGTTCTAAGCATGCAAGGCACCCAGCAACCGCTGGCAAGCTTAGCCGCATACAAACCCTTTGCGACAGCTGAAGAACCGCAGATGGCCCGGCAAGACTTCAGCCAATGCCAAGCTTGGCCCACCAGCACTGCCAAAGGCGCTGCGAGCTGTGGCAGCTCTAGCTCCTCAGCTGAGTTGCTTTGGTTCCCAGCTTTAGCTGTGTGCCATGTCAAGCAAGTGGAATTTCTTTGCTGTCTCCGAAGCATTTCGCAGGGCTAAGGAAAGATGTTGGCTCAGGTTAGTGGCTCACTGTGTGTGCCATAACTCCAATGCAAACTCGGGCGCACCTGCAAGGCACCTTTTCCTTTCCTCGCTGCCAAGCAAATTACTCGCTGGCGCCCGGGGCTCTTTGAGACCTTCGTCTCTGGCGAGAGCTGTCTCATTTCATTACAGTTCCGTCTTCAGCACAAAAAGAGGCCAGGCGACAAGTTTCCCTTAGCAGGTCGCAGCGCCATCAGTTGGAATTGATAAAGCTCTATCAAAACTGGGGTAAACCACCTACCAACTGGTGCAGGATTTCGTCCATCCACTGTAGCGCGACAGCACCTTCGACTGGTCGCTGGCTGTAAATGAGATCCACGCTCGGCTGCAGTGCCCTGAGGATTCCAGCTGCATGATGCCCACCCGCTCTTGCTCTTGCAGATCTCTGCAGTGCATCTGTCCATGTAAGCCATGACGACAAAGCACAGCGCAGTGCAAACACTTTGCGAGACTCGCCAAGAAACCATCAATCGCCTAGGCAGCTGGGTATGTACGCGCCTTGCGGAATGGGCCCTTATTTAGGGAAAAAGTACTCAGAATCAGCACATTGGTTGGTGATTCGGAGCCTTGACATCAAACAGCTTGAGAAGTCGCTTGGGATTGCACTGCCTCAGTCATATCAAAGCCATTTCTTTGGATTCATTTGCAGAGTCCGAGCCGTTGAGGAAAGTCAATGAGCGCCTAACACTTTCCAACATCTTCCTACATCTTCTTATCTGGACTTAGATACCCCTGTGGTTCAACTGGTCAATGGGCAAATACTATTATCCGTATGATATATATATATATATATATATATATTATGTATACAATGCATGTTTGGTTAATATAAACACAAATGCCCAACAGAAGTGCAAACAACTTGCCCATGGACATGAAACGGCCCAAGTCTCTGCCCGAGTGACCCTCTAAGAGGCCCTTGACCTTGGCCACCACAGCGGCGTGTCGCTCGCGCAGCGCCCGTGCGGCACCTACGTCCTGCCGCGGCCGCCTGAGCTCGGCGAGCCAGGCGTCGAGCAGCCTGGCGACTCGGATGGCCTAGCCCTGGTCCAACTGGGTACGGGTCAAAATTAAAGACCGCAGGTTTTAGCCCTTGTTTCCATTTACTCGGGTTCCATTTGGGTACCCATTTTGACCCACACCCAACTGAGACTCAAAGCCAGACCAAAACCTGGCCATGGGTCAAAATCCCGGTTAGCCCCGTGAACATCCCAATCCCCACTAAAATAGCCTAAAATGGGTGTGAATTCACCTACCCTAAAATGGTACCATTGGTTTTGACCCACATTGAGGCCAGGCAGCGCAGAGTTTATCCAACTTCCCTTTCGAGTAATCCCAAGTGAACCAGTGCTAACATGGCGCATTGTTGCGCCCTTGCCCGAGAAAGCTCGGCATGGTGGGCTGTAATGGGAATGAGTAAACGCAGGTATGTCAAGACAAGGAGGCCCAACTGGCTGGGCTTATGCTAGTTTCCTCCAAACATGGGCCAACCAGATGAGTCCCCCTGTTTCGGCACAAACCACCTAGTAGCCTCCCACCAGTCTCTCTCCCTGACACAACTCTTCACCCTTGCCTGTGCGCGGCCCTTTGTTGACCTGGCGGCTCACCCAAGGCTCCCAGCAGCTCCTCCACGCCCTGTGGGGTTGCGTTAATCGACGCATCCATTCTTCTGGAAAGATGTGTGTACTCAAATGAGAACCAACTACTATCGCTTGTTTTTTCAATTGACATAATCAGCATTCAAACTATCTACGGTAAACCTTAGATTCCAACTGGACCTGAAGGTAACCTCACGTCGGTTGTGAATCAAGACGCGCATGCCGTCTTTGCCTGGCGCCGCCCCCACTCCGTGCCTGCTTGTTGGCCCGCAGCACCAAGGGCGTGGAGCTTCGCAGCGGAACCACGGGCTCAACCTCCGCCTCCGGCGGAAAGAAGCCGAAGGCAAAAAGGAACTGCTCCGCGCTGTGGGCGCCGTAGGAGATGAGGATCCTCACCCGCACTTCTTTTTGGCTCGGCCCTTGAAGAAAGGCAACTTATGCGCGATTGGGCTTTCTATACATTTGCATTTTGGCCGGGACTCCAAAACAAAGCAGCGTTGAGAGGTGGATGGATGGATGGATGGATGGATGGATGGATGGATGGATGGATGGATGGATGGATGGATGGATGGATGGATGGACGGATGGACGGACGGACGTGTCGGGAGGGAGGGATGGATAGATACATGCATGGATGGATGGCTGGGTGGATGGATACATGCATGCAAGCATGGATGGATGAATGCATGGATGCATGGATGGATGGATGGATGGATGGATGGAAGGAGGGATGGGGAACGCGCCCTTGTCAGGCCCGCCACCCGCACCTGCCACGGAATGAAAACTCCCCGTCACGCCGGGCAGGAGGGCAAGACAGCATGACGTCCTGGGATCTCACTGGGGCAATGCTGGTGGCTACCTGCCTGTTCAAGAACTGGTTGGCATGGACTCGGATGGATATCTTCTGCAGAACACGTGCGGTGCCTGGCTTGCGGCAGAGGCTCTCCTCTCCTTCCAGGATCGCCTTGCACGCCACCAGCTCAACTCCCTTCCCAGTGCCGCGGATACAGGCATTGGGCTCTCCATGGTTGGCGAAATCTAGGACAGGCACCAGGCACGGCACCTCGCGGGGCCCCATGGGCAAGGTGCTGGATCTGGTGGACACAATGGCCTGGGCCCACAGGAAGCGCTCCCAGGTCGGAGCCATCGGAGCTATGAGCGACAGGGCGTGCCACTCGCTTCTCTTGGCCTCCAGCAGCACCTCCGCCTCCCTCTGCAAGGCGGTGCCCCTGAGGGCCTCGGAGCCCGAAAAGGCCAAGGCCAGCGGCAAGGCCTCGGCGCCGGCGTTGAGCTCCTGGGGCAGAAGCTCCAACCACGGCGCCCACTCGGGGTCCGAGTGGAGAAGCCAGAAGCGGATGGCCTGGGAATCGCTGGCACTGCCTTGAGATAGACGCCACTTCTCCATCAATTGCTGCAGCCGCGGATCTTTGTCCACGAGGTCTCGATGTAGGACCAGCTTCCAAGGCACCCGCAGTAGCATTTCACTTGATGCAGCTGGTCCATCCTGCTTCACGAGCCCTTTGCCACGCCCCGGTATCTGCTTCACGCTCAGGCCTTTCATGTACCCTCCGTGCTTCTTCAACCACGTCTTCAAGCGGTCTTGCTCAGGTCCGGAGTCACACAGTGTGCCTGGGGCTGGGAACAAATGAATACTAGGAAAGAGTGAACCAACATTCAATCATGACAACCAACGGTGGCAACGGCGCAAGCACCTCTCTTATTGCGGAAACCTCTTGCCTCTGCCGTTGAAGGCACAAAGACCTGCTAGCAACACCGACGCTGTCTGCCAGTAGCATGAGGAAGCAAAACCACGGCATGGCACAAGCGAAGCGGCACACATCGCGGAGGTGCGCTCCGAGTGTGCTCCTTTGGAAGCTTGTGGCTGAGTCATAATGTAATGGTTCGCAGTTCGTCGAAAATTGACGATGCGATTATTAGTTTTGACACCATGTGCAGTTGAGACCAACGAGACTATCTTAGTAAGCAAATATCAAGGCTGGTGTGTTTATCAACATGTTATGCCGGAAGAATAAACACACTAGGGTGTCTATGAACATGGTTCTACTAGCATTTTTGGCCAGCGTGGATTCCCTGTAACGAACCGGTGTGTATGCCTGATAGATGTCTCTTGGCAAGGCACAAGCACCCATTCCGAGCTTGATCTCAAGGAAGCACAATATCCACACAAGTACACATTGCAACATGTGTGAGCCCTGTTGGCGGAATTTGACTGCTTGACGTTTGTCGTTGAAAGGCCAAGAAACTTGAGACGTTGAGTGCCAGAGATGCAAATCGAAGCTGAGTTGCAGGCAGGAGCGACAGACATCATCAATGCCACGACCAAGTAGGCACAAACAGCGCCCAGGCCTTAGAGCCACCCAGAAGCCATCTCTGATGGCATACCCAAACAGATTGCTCTGTGAACCAAAACAACTCACTGCTCTGTCTGCTAGCATGATGTTTTTTTCCAACTAGAGTAGCCATGCCTCAAGGAGTCTCAGTCCGAGGTCTTGACTGGTGGAGAGGATTGCGCTCATCTCACGGCCTTTCGTCTAGCGACAGGCAGGTTCAACCGATATGGGCTCTTCACAAAAACCTTGGACCTCGTCGCCTTCTCAACAGGCATCTTGAGGAGCCGGGCGCAGCGTTGTCTCCGGGTCGGAGAAGAGGCGTGACAAAGGTGGCCTTGAATTCTCAAGGCTAAAACAACTGTAGGTTTGCCGAAAGTTCAGGTTGACGAGTGCCTCAACAAGCATATCATCTTTGATACAACCTTAATAAGCGTGCAGCAAAGGGGAAAACGACATTGTCCTTGGCAAGCGGCTGGCTCTGTGCCAGTCAGTTCTGGGCTCTCTGCCCATCCTCATCCAGCTCTTTCAGCTGCAAATCCTGCACCAAATGGGAACCTCACGGTCACACCTTTCGGACTTAGCGTCCTTCCCGTGGGCTCGTTTGACTGACTTGGCTTGACTGGCTGGTCGAAGCACTGCTAGCCAGTGGCTGTTGCCTGTTGATGTTACAAGCACCCCAGCAGCTCTTGGTTCGATGAATCACTGATGCACAAGGGGATGTTTTGGTATGTGTAGATTTCCCAGTGAGAATATGAATAATGAACCAGAACTGCTGTACGTGTTAAATCTTTGAATGTTGATACTCAGGCCATTGCTGAGGAAACTGGTCCTGAACCACATGACAGTAGTCTGGATCTAAGGCCCTACGTAAACACCACAGAGATGGAATGGAGCTTTCCCAAATCCGAGGTTGTAAATGGTATTTTCCAGGTTTATACAGGGGTTGAACAAGCGGCATCCAGGGTACATAGGAAAAACATGTTGTGGCAGCATAATTTTCAGGCAACAAGTGATTCCCAAATTTGCCTGGTGACAACCCAAACCAAAATGACTTTGGGTATAACTGTTTGGGGGTTGGGCAACAAGATCACCAACATCATGAGCTCTCAGAAGCGAAACTCATACCATAACTGTAACGGTTTCCAAGTTCAAGTCAGGGGAAACAAGTCCACTTCGATAAAGCTCCGGCATGCTGATGCTTGCCAAGTCTTGTCACCGCCTCGTAGGCGATGTTTTGAAACAATTCGGTCCTCAGCCAGCGAGTCGTCAGCGCATTTGCAGCAGTTCTGCGACAGTTCTCGACAAGCTTGCGTGTAGATATGCGAAAGTTACCTAAGCTCAAAACTTCACTTCAGTGGCCATGGGTCAAAATCCCGGTCATCCCCCCAGTGAACATCCCAATCCCCACTAAAATAGACTAAAATGTGCACCTACCCCTAAAATGGTACCATTGGTTTTGACCAACACCCATATGCTTAAGTTACCTAAGCTCACAACCTCCCTTAAGCGTGGGTGACACACAGGACGGTGAGGCCGTTGCAAGCTCGTGGTCTTGATCGCCGCGAACTTACGCGTCTCCATCTCCAGAACGAAAGCTCGTGCCTGGCTGCCGGAAACGTACATAAACGTACCATAGGTCCAGGATCCCACAGATCGACAGGATCAAACATACCAGGGGTCATACAATTTGTGCTTTCCAGGCTTCATGAACATTTTTTGTTTCGGAATGCCCAGAACGAGCAACGCACGAACCCAACACCGGACCAGTCGACACAATACAAAGCCAATAGCAAATCAAGCTCCATCATTCCCACCCCCAAGAAACGGGGGGTGGCTTCTGAAATGTCAGCTTTCTGGTGGGATCGGACGCATGGGGCTTCTGAACCGCCGGATCTGTGCCTTGGAGGCTTCTGCCCACACAGCCGCAAAGCTGGGCCCTGGCGCCGCAGGCTGCCATGGCCAGCCTGCATGGGACCAAAGAAACATGTACACCCGGGTTACCCTATCCGAGTGGCGGGGGTGCGGTCCAGCATCAGAAACCAAACAGGAAAAGGATGATGGAGTGAATTCTGGGATGGCGTGTTTTTTGAATACTCCTAACAAACAAGGCACGGCATGCATCAAAGCATTCAGCTGTGGTGTTTGAGAAATCCGATTCCAAAAACCCACATCTAACTTATGGGCCTTCTTTATGTGCATTTGACCAGAACATCTATGTTAACAATATGTTGTTCTGCCCTTCTGTCCTTTTGCTTACATTTGTCCTTTAACAAAGCAGCATGAATCAGGCACACATCGCACCTGTGGTCTCATCACCCGCTCGCTTGAATTTTGCCAAGGAGCGTGAGCCAGAAGAGGCTACTTGCACTGGTTGGATTCTGAAAGGCTCCTCTGGCATAGAGCAACCTACAGTCAACTATCCAGTTTTCATGGATGCCCACAGGCAAATTTAGGATATGCGTCATTTGCACGGTGTAACGGTGGAAATCAGGCTCAACACATGCACTGAGCTCTATCCGTCCTCCGCATCTTCACCAGAGTTTTTCATCTCCTGCACCTGGAAAGCCGCCGCTCAAAACTCGCGCAATCTGAGTGTCTGGCCCCATGCTTTGAAATGCGTCGACATCTCCCGCACAATATCACGCCGTCTGCCCGCAGGAACAATTTGGTCACCAATCATGTCATCTACTTTTTTTACATCGTTTGTTTGCTGCTTGCATACACTTTCTGCAGGCCTTAGTCAACTAGTTTACGCCAGCAAAAGCCTAGCCATGACCATGCCCGTCCCAAACTAAAGTGTCATCCAGGGACAATCTCCCCGTCCGTCCATTCCAAGGCATCTCACATGCCTTCACGACGGCGGCTATACATATATATATAAACTATGCACTCCCCAAAACATGCGCAATAGCCCTGTCACCTGTTTGGATTTGCTGTGGGCACATCCACTGGTGCCTTCGAAAGAAGTCTGGGCCGTGCAGCGGTTCGACTCAAGCTTGGCCTCCTGGTAGTAAGCGCTGCGGGAGGAGTCAAGCTCTTGCAGTCGCTTCGCCTCAGGCTTGCAAAAGGTAAAATCTTCAACAGAAGCACTGGAGGTGTTGCGCATAGGTCTTGACCAAGCTGGGGTCACAACTCTCTCATCTGCACTGGAGTCCACCAGGATGAGGCAATACCTCTCAAGCGGGTTACAAATAGTTGCGACTCAATTCGGATTGGTCCCAGAGTGATTGGAAAGCGAAACACTCCAAACAAGCAGATAGTCTTTCAGCTTATTGAGCAATGCCTACTGAAAGCTCTAATTTGGGGTGCCAGGGTCCAATATTCAGAGCACGTTGCAAAAGCCGCCTGCCCTTGCAGGCACGTACCCGTGTCAATCACAGGCACTTGCGCTTCTGGATGCGCACGTCTTGCTGGTGCCTTGAGTCGCCTTGTCACCGCAAAGCTGCTGATAGTTGCCTCGAAGACTGCACTCTCAGACACGTCCACAAAACTGGGCTCCCGATGTGCATGTTACCAAACTGTTTCCAAAATGCTTGGACATATGATGGTACTACAAACTCCAAGGTGATGGCACTGAGCACAGGTCAAACCGACACTAAGACCAAAACTCCCACAGAATGGCTACAGCAGCAGAGGCCAGCCATGTCTGCATCTCAAAAATCAAGCTGAGATCACCAACCCATCTGGGCAAGCAGCGAATTGTGACGATCGGAGCTTGATGAGGGATCTCCTCTGAGATGAAATCCTGGCATACAAGCAAGACGTGTTGCGTCCTTTGCCGGACGCCCATCCTCAATTCTGACCGCATGTGTGCCGCCCGGATGGCCTTGCCCATCAGAATGTCGGCCATATACCCGTGCGTCAAGTCAAGACGTCAAACTTGCATCGTCCCGAAAAAGGCCCGACCACAGGTCCTGGATCAACGGAGCCATGTCCCTAACGTTGCGCACATGCGTCTTGCTGATGCCACCTCGGCTGAGTCCAACTGGGTAAAGCTGGCGACTTTCTACTCCGCAATTCTGGCAAACTATGAACAGCTGTCAACAAAGCAATCCAAACAATTGCCGCAGTTAGGCCAAAGTGTGCCACAGAGTGAGTACCACCGTGGCTTGCTAAAGTCCATGTTGTTTCTTTGCATTTTTTTGTTCAATGGCCTCTATTTCTGGAGCAGGGGTTCATGTCATGAGGTGGGAAACAGCATGTAACAAGGCCACGGACTTGAAGGGTAGTGGAGAAAGAGCGGGTAGCTCTGAAAGTTCGAAGGAGGTCAAAACGAAAAAAAAATGGACCTGACATCGCCAAAGGAACTTGTTTGGAGGGCGTGTACTTGTTAGTTCCTTGCCTTTTGCCTGAGCTTGAAATTCCTCGCAATTGATCATCCAATCTCTGTTTCAGGGGTTGAAAGATACGATGCATCGTGACTGAATGCTGAATGTCTGACAATAACCATCCCTCCCTGAAGCGGCATGATCCTGCTGCGCAACTTCTTAGCGCACGGGGCAGGAAGGTCACGTGATCTGGCTGATACACCACAGACACGTCGTGCGCGAGCCCGTCATACCCAATATGTCATGTGCCTTGCACCATCGATGGGGATACCCAACTCTCAGAATGAGGGGACCAACCGCCAGAAACAATAACCTAGAAATCGCAAATACCAGGCCCAAGGTTGTCGGGCCTCCAACCGCCCTCCAAGACCAAACCGTTGATCAGACCCATTTTGTAGTGGCACTACTGATGTCATCAACAAACAAAAGCGTGTAGAAAGGAGTAGTCAAGCAATTCAAGCCCCGCATTCTCAAAATCCACACCGAAGAGAAACCCCGAAACGTAGAACCCAACCAGCCGCCCTTCGAGATCAGCGCTGGCTCGCCGCAGAAACAGCGCAAAAGTATGGCCTAAGCGGAAATCCGGCCGTCTTGGCAAAGGTAGGGAATAGCTGGCAGGTGGCTTCGCAGCGGCTTCAGCGCAGGCAAAGAAAGCAGGTCCGTCCTTTTGCTTTGTACAGATCGCTGCCTTGTGGCTAGCTGCCACTCGGCCACTTGGCCCGCAGCCTCTTTCAAAGGCATACTCAGAGCCCAAAACCTGACATGGAGTGCAGGATGCACGGAGCCTCTCGTCACCTGACACCTTGCTCCATTTGCCAAACTGACGAGATTGCCCCGTACCCTTCAGAAACGAGCACGCCGCAATACGAATATGGGCCCAGGGCACAAGCTGCAAGCTCCTAGAGGCTGCTCCAAAGAAACATACAGAATCTCACGGCAAAAGCCGTGTGATACGCAGAAAACCCACATCTTCGCTCACGCCCGCGAGCCTCGACTGCCGTTTGGGCGTCGACGGACGCAAAGCTAAAGAACTCCTCCCACACATGTGCCAGGCGGAACACCTCGGCTGCAGCTTGGCCAACCGTCAGCGACGCCACTGTTGGAACTTGGTGAGCCACAAGTGCAGATGAATCATGAACCCCTCACAGCTGGGTGCATTGCAAGAGCCTTGGATTTCTTATGATTTCTTTCTTCCAAGGACAAAGAGATCTGTCCAAACAGCCAATTGAAACGTTGGACCTGAAGGCCCTGGCAGGAAGAAGGTCGGCGCCTTTGCCTGCACGGCTAGGGCCTGCGATCAGGATCCGCGTCCTGGGCGCTCGCTCACAGCCATTACCCTCTTCGGTTGGGTGGCCCAAATGATACAGGTGGGTGTATACCATTTATTCCTCCAAAGGGTTCGGTTTTGGTTGATTCGCTTTGGAAAGCATACCAAGGGTAGGTCTTGCGCCTTGGTCACTTCCCTCAACCCAGGACAATACCTGACCCCTGAGATGGTGAAGTTCAAGTGCCGTTTCCCTTCCTTCTTAGTTGACACCCCCAATCGTCACCCCTACTGGTACCCCCCCCCCCACTCCAAATACTCGCTGTTTCGGGGCATTGTTTCAAACATTCCAGGGTAAATACCTCCTTTGCTAGTCAAGGGTGACGTCATTCGCTATCATACCCTGAAAAAAACAGAATGGGACCTCCTGGAAGGTTGGGTTTTCTACAATCACCGTTGTTTTAGTCTTTCTCAGTGTTTTGATTTTTCTTGAAAGTGGGGTATTGAGTGTAGGGGGCACCGTCCGCATAGCGTCCAGGCACCCCGCTCGCCGGCTTGCCACCAGCGCTGCAGCTCCGCAGCGGTCTCGTGGCGGTGGATCTGAATCGCGCGGCCACGAAAGATGCCAATCGTCCAATCACATTTGGGTGCATTGTCTTTGTTCTAAAGGGGACCCTCAAAATGGCTGTCTTCTTCAAAACCACAAAAAACAAAAACAAAAGCAGGGACCCTCAAAACAAGACACACCAAAGTTGACAACACCCCTCTGCCCGCAATCGACCCACTTTGCACCTCTGGGAAGTTGTTCTCCATGAAGCTCCTGAGGGCTTTGCCTCCACCGGCGCTGTTCTCCTCACAAAGGCGGCAGTGGACCAATCACAAAATCACGAAAACACCAGAAGAAGCACGTCTAAATTGTGAAAGAATATGTAGTGGCAAGCACGGGCTTACCCATGCCCCGCAAAGAAAAGTACATCTACTTGTGTTTTGAGATCCCTTCCTTCAGTACTTGAAGCAAAACTGGAGAGCCATATTGGCCAAACTGATACCTTGTGGACACTAGAAGCAAACCATGGCCAAGCCCTGCGCCTCATCTCGGCCCATTCTGTCCGAGAACATGAAGTGCTCCACAGACATGCCGCGGGCATATCTGAAGACCTCCAATGCTTTCAGGTTGAAACCCTGGAATTGAAAGAATCAGGGTGACATGAGCCGCAGAGAGGTGTGTCTATTTTTAGGGTGGTGGTTCTCCTTTGAAAACGATGCAATAAGCAGTTTCCTGGAAAAAAAAACACGCGCCCAGTCAACATTCATGGTAGGCCCCAAGGCTGCGGGCCAAGCACCGCTCTTTTGAGGATGCTGCCACTGGCAGCAGCACGGGCTTGAAGGGCAGCAACGTCTGGCGGGTGTTGCATGTTTCAAGGCACATATGCGCCAGTGCTCGAAGCTCAAGCTATAAAAACGCTGGGTGAGCACGGTCTTGGCAGGAAATCATGAACCCAACGAACTGCAGGCTATGGTCATGTGTTACCAGTCCAGATGGTGCAGGGTCAGAATTTGAGCCATGCCAATGTGCCATTGGATGTCTTTCTGCCCGCACCTTGAGCTCGGGCTTCGTGACATCCAAGCGACCGAAGCGCGCATGCTCGCCGTAGGTGTGCGCCACGTCCTGCAGGCGAAGCCGTCTGGGCCATTAGGATGTTGTTCGATTCAGCACTCATGGTTTGTGTTGCTTCTTCCATGGCGAAGCAGAGAGAGAGAACCAAGTGGGCAAGCCCACGAAGCCTGGTCCTTAACAGGTTCAACGCTTCAACTGTAGCTGCTCTTAAGAGGGACGTACACCCTGTCTTGTATCTTTCCTACACTGTACCCTCTGGTTCGGCAGTGAGCCAGGCAGGCGTGGCTAGCATCCTCCCATCCAGTGGCAAAGGACTTGCAGCTGCCGTCGTTGGGGTCGTATGCTTGCACAAACCAGACCTCGTTCGACCTGGCCAACCCGACCCGAGTACCGAGTACAGGGCTCAATGCAATACACGTGACAAATAGCCCCACGAAGGACAAAACCCAAGCATTTATGATTGTGGGCTTCGATCAATTCCTATGCCGACATCATCGCTAGCAACAAAGCCAACGACTGGCTAGGGACGCGCCTAAGACTGGAACTGGCTCCGGCCTCAGCACCTGCAACTCAAAGTCCTCCAAGCTCAGCTCCACCGACCTTAGCCCGGCACTGCTCTTCCAAGACAAATGGATCAGGACCCGTGCGCTTGGGTTGAGGTCTGCGCTAATAACCGGGAGACACAATGCAGCAACATGTGCACCAAGTCAGATTCAGCTGCATATCCAAATGCTGAACTGATTGATTTCTCCTGAGTGGCCCAGCAAGTGGACCCTGTCGTTTCTGGGGCTCTGACGACTGTGACTCCAAGCTTTTCTTTGCCTGCCTCCCGGAGTCGTAGGCCTGCGTGGGCACATGAGGCCAGATCGCATCAACTGCGAGACATGGATGCCAGGTGTGTGGTTGAAACGCTCATGCTACAGGCCCTGTCTTCACTTGCAGGCTGGCTCTATGGATTTTCTCCCAAATGGACTCGGCAGGTCGACCATCTGGGAAGCCCAGGAAGCTTGCAAGGCATGGTGCTTGGGACCTTTGCGGTGACACAGGTCTTGTGCCGGCTCTCCGCACTAAGATGTCTCATGTCCTGCGGCGCAAAAATCACAGAATGCTGCAAATCTGAAAACATGATTGTGTCCCACTGGCTGAGGGACTGAGGAGCCTCAAGAAAACCGCAAACACACACACACACACACATGCAGAAAGAGACAAAGAAAGAGAAAGAGAGAGAGAGAGAGAGAGAGCGAGAGAGAGAGAGAGAGAAAGAGAACACCCCACAAACATAACGAAACTGTAGTCACCCCGGCTCCTGCAGCTTGCGTCTTTCTGGCTGGAGGCTGGAAGACATTGACAAACATGCTCTTCTGCACCTGGCGGATGGACTGTTCTGCCACTTCAGCTGCCTGCTTGCGCAAAACGGGGGAAGAAAGAAGAAACAGATCAGCCGCGGCAAACAAAGAAAGAGGAGCGCCTCTCTATGGCTCGGAGTGTGTCAAAACCAAGGCACCCCGCAAAACTAAGCCAAAAGACCCAAAGCAATCGCTCAGCTCTCGGCCTCCCGGTGAGCCCGAAGGCTGCGCTGCACTGACTGGATCTCGTTTCGAATGGCCCGGTCCTCTGGCCGGTACCAAAAACCCAGCCCTTCCGAACTCAAGTAACTGAATCACACTGCCTTGAGTTGTCTCCCTTGCTCCTTTGAAGTTGTCCCTGTCCTTCTTGGATCCAACTAATGATGTCAACATAATCATATGTCTGTAATATGCCATCATTCTATGTCTATGCTTTGTTTCTTTGCTGCCATCACAGTATGTATCTGTCTGGTTGTCAAAATGTTGGCTCCCAGTTTTGTAGCGTAAATCGCCATTCCATGGGGGCCCGTATCATTCGGGCCATATGAACACGTAACCATTGCGGCACAATATGTTTGACTAAGAAACGTGCAAACCACTGCCAGGCGCACTAGCGCGGGCCTTTTCTTAAAGCTGCTGCTATAGGATATTTAAACACACAATAAATCCCAACGTTCTACACCACATCTTCGGCAAGTAGCAAAACGGAAATGCGTATATAGCTTTACTTGGCCTGACTACCAACTACAGCCAAGAAACATGCAAGTGGTTTCTTGGGTATTGGCACGTGCCCACGTGTTCAAGTTGGCAACTGCCTGCTAGCGCGGCGCTAGCGCGGAGCTAGCGCGGAGCTAGCGCGAAAAACTGCCCATGTTTTCTTATTTTTCGCAGGGTCACGTGTCGCAAGGTCCGATACAGATTTCGTGACAGGCGCAACGCTTTCGGAAGGGCAGGCATGGCAGGCGTGTCACTTTCGCAAAAGACACGTGCAGATCTCGTGGCAGACGCAGCACTTTCGCGTTGCGAGCAAGGAATGCCTCGAGCGCTGAGAGCCACCGGACAGAAGGGCCATGCATGCGCATCTCACGTGCCACGTCAACTAACGTCCCCGACCTAGCGCCGAGCTAGCGCGAAGCTAGCGCTGCCAGTGGGATTTGCATGATTTAGGTGGGGGCCCGCTTCATGTCGAAAAGGGAAAAACAAGATGCAACAGGAACTATGAACATACTGTATATAGCTGCTTAGCCGGCCTTTTTGAACGGAAGCCAGAATCTGTGTGTATGGTCCCTTCAGGACACCAGGAAAAAGTGAGGAATGTGCGGACTGAGCCCACACTTTGCACTACTACGTTCACCGCGTCGTGTTTTAGTTCAGAAGGCCTTCCAATGGGGCGCTGGCAGCCCCCCTCCTCCAGCCCCCGAACTCCTCAGTCAATGTGATGAAAATCAGGATCGGTCCTCGGAAAAGAAAGGTCTCCAGCAACATCTTCACCAATTTTGCACCGGCACGTCCGTCGCCGTGGCGTGTCATGTCCGACATCACACGCAGGGCTGAATCTGGCCTTGCAAGGTGATGTTGTCCAAAGGGCGATTGCAGGTATGCCTCTGCAAGCTCTGTGCTGGGCTTGAGGATAAACTTCACTTCGTTGCAAGTCTGTGTCTGAGCATCTTGCATCAACCCTTGCATCGAGAAGTCCTCATTGAATATTTCATCATCCACCCAAAGCAGAGGCGAACCAGCAGACACTGCTGTAATGCCCAACTCCAGCTCGCGGCAGTGAATCTCCGTGTAATTCGACTCTCTGATCATCTTGAGAATGAGACATCGAGAAAAGGGAAGGAAGAGTACTTCATTCTCGTCATAGCCAAATTGTGTAGAGTAGTTGGAGAACTGATCAATGTCTCGACCCTTCAGAGAGTGTACGATGACCTTTGTGTTGCGATTCTTGAAGTGTGAGGCACCCCGGTCTCCCTTGCAAGAGCTGGAAAACTGAGTCCAGGTTATGATGTGGCCTGGCGTGTACAACTTCTGCCTTGATTGGTCATCCAGGGATAGGAAGCGCGTCACTGTGTTTCAGTAATATGGAAGGTGTTTCAACGCCTGCACCAGGAAGTACAAGACCGGAAATGTCGTCTGCACCATCTCATCCGCTTCACGGCTGACGCCTGCCCTGAGGAGGTCCGTTGCGGATGCAAAGGTTTCCTGCGCGTAAGGCTGACTTGGAGCCTTCACCCGTGCAGAATGAGAGCGCCCAAACACAGCATTCGGCATCTTTTCTTGCGAGCTGCTTGCGCTCAAAGAAGTTGATGTTGTCCTCCGTGACCGCGGGTCTCTCTGTGGTGGATACATTGGACGGGAGCTCGCATTCCAACTTCTCGAGTGCCTCAAGCATCCACTGTCTCCGCTCAGGCGGAGTGTTCTGCACCCCGTCTTGCATGACGAAGGTGTCGATGCAAACTCACTTCTTGGCAGTCATGGAAATGTGTGCAAATTTCCCTGCCAATTTGGCAGAAGCTGGGCACATCTCGCTCTCTGGATCGGAAATTGCGTAGTCTTCATCGAGATGGGCTGTGGCACACAAATTCACGTGGTTAACATGCGTTGCTTCCTTCTTAGGATGGATCCGCATCTGCGAGGATCTGCTGAATGCCCTTTGCCTCGTCACCAGTGGCATGAACTCCCAGCATGTCTTCGCAACGGTTTCTGATTGCCAAAAGTCTGAGCCGTGCCTCACTGAATCAAAATGGCTTCATCCGGCTTCACGCTTGTGCCCACAAGGGGCCATCAATCATACAGCAAGAACCGCCTTGCACGTGTGATGACGTTTAGGGCTAATTCCGCTGACACTGACCCAGCTGAAGAAGCGCTGCATCAGAGAGCCCTGACAGAAGGTTCGGGGATTCAGTTGTGTTTCCGAGGCGAAAGCCCACAAAGCTCTAGATGTATGAGGTTTGCGCTTGAAGCCTCTCCTGTGGCAGCAGCTCAGCAGCTCTCTGCAAGTCACGCAGGGCGTCCTGCGAGAGGCTGCTGACTGGGTTGGGGGGTCTGTGTTCTGTCTGCAGTCAAGCTCCTCAAAAGAAAGAATCCCAAGTGAATGATGTAGGGCCTGGTCCAGCAGTTAACATGCTTAGCCTGCACTCACCGTCCTCGTAGTCGGTTTGTCCTGTTGGGGACCGAGATCGGTGTGACTCATACAAGCACGCAACAAACACATGCGCCGGAAACACTCACGCAAAGGCCGAATGCGACCTCAGACTGCCATGCTGTCCTGCGGAAGCCTGCCCGCGCCGGAAGAGCGCCTCGTTGGCACCAGACAGGTCAGTTTGTGAAATGGTTGTCAAAAGGTTGTCTGTTGAAGCCACTCGGGGCTTGATGCAGGTGCCTTGGCATTGTTGGGCTCGGCACCTGGGCGAGCAGCGCTCTTTCATCACGTGAGCCATGACTCCGCGACTGGGCTGCAAAAACCGCGGCTGCTCAAAAGGCGTCAACAATTCTTCAAACCAATTGCCGCATGATATTGGCTCAAGACAGAAGTCCCGTGCTGAATGAACTGCCCTGCATCAATCGCACTCTCCTTTGCCTCATGACAGGCTTCCTTGCCAACCCCTGCCAAAGCAACGGTTCATGTGCAGCTGTGTGAAACAACTCCTCGTTGGTTGAAAGCCAACCCCCGACAAAGCAACGGTTCATGTGCAGCTGTGTGAAACAACTCCTCGTTGGTTGAAAAACTGGACGCTCAGTTCATCCCCCAGGCAATCCAGCACAGGCTCTTTCAACCATCGCTCCCACACCTTGGGAAGAGATCTGGCCGTGGCTTTGCACAAGGCCGTACATTCTCCGACAGCCATTCTGAGAAAACCCTGCAAAGGGCACAGCTGTGACGCAGTGTGCTTTGCAGCAACATCGGACGGCTTAATCAACATAAGCAAAAACGAAGGGATCAAATGAATCACACAGAGTGTGGCGAGGCCTGGCAGAGCTTTGGCCCACAGCCATGCAGTGAGCCTATGCCGGAGCCTTGCGCTGCAGCACGTCCGTGATAAGACGGACGGTGTGGGCATGCAGCTTCACCTTGGTGACTTGAATCAGGTCCCACATGTGCTTTGGACAACCTGAGGCGCCGGCAGCCATGTGCTCCGCATCAATGTCGTGCACCTTGCATACCGAAGGCTTGAAAGGAACAGCCGGGCTGCTTGGCTTACAAGATGTATCAAGAAAAAAGGTGTAAGTGACCATACACCTTTGCTCAAGGCATTGTCTTTCTGATTTGAGCGCCTTTGAAGCAAATTTCAGGTGCCTTTGAAACCAGTCCCCTCCCATCCCATCCCCGCCTGGCAGGGCTCCGTGCTCCACTGCGCCCAGGCGTCGTAACTCTCGGGGCTCCAAGGTGCCGAGCACCGAGGCCCCGAGTTGGTGATGCGGCAGTTGATCTCCCGCACCCGCTGCAGCTCCTGGGAACTCTGATTCCAAAGTCGCATTCAAGAGAAACCCCCAAAGTAGCAAATGAAAGGGACACCAGATACTGACTTTGATAACCCCCAACTGTCAAACAATGACCCCAGCAACTTGGGGCCTTCACAAGTGGGTTGTGGGGGCCGCCCGGCATCGCAAGGAATCGGGAAAGGAGAGCACTTATTTGTGGTTCGGCTCTTAGCAAAAGCCACAGGTCTATAACCCCAGCAAAGCTGGATCGTCTGGCAACAAGCACGGGTTTGCTCTCTGAGATGCCGGTTGTGGCCTGCAAACGTCATTATGATGACGAGGTTTATCTGCCATCATAGGGAACAAGCAATAGCATCACCAGTATCACCGTCAGCATCAGCAGCATCATCACCTCCCGGCTCCGGATTCGGCTTTCTCCTCCTCCTCCTCCTCCTCCTCCTTCTCCTCCTCCTCCTCCTATACTCCTCATCCTCATCGTCATCGTCATCCTCGTCCTCGTCCTAATCGTAATCCTCATCCTCACCAGCGTCATCGTCACCGTAGTCATGATGGTGATCATACTGGTCTGCTGCATGTGGTCAGCATTCTAACCCCGAGCTTAAGTTTGCCAGCGTGGCTTGGTCGGAAGTCCAGCCGGTGTTGTTCATTTCGCGTGTATCTGCGTTTGGGCTGGACTGCGGATATTTCGGCCGCATCGCTAGTTCCCCTCGCAGCCCTGTCAAAGCCCATGCGAAGAATCTCAAGAATTGCATGGTGCCGACTACAAAGGCCTTTTCTTTCAACTGGGTTCTCAATTGTCAGCAGACAGGGACTAAGCGTCCTCCTTCTTCATCTGCTCATCTTTGCTGCTGAATGCTTGAACAGCCCGCTTTGGTGGGTTGCTTGCGACGCTGGCATCCGATCTGCTCAGGGCAATCAACGATAGTCAAGTAGCCGAGACACCTCAGTCAAGTCCTTCTTGGTATCCAGCAAGAAGTTCTTCTGCGCTCGCACTACATGCCTCGTCTTTTAGCGAATCCAAAGAGCTTTGCACGTCTTGGATCTGTGCTAGAGTTTGCTCTTGCGAACGCTGCAGGTAAGGCATGGAGAGTTATCATGTGCTCGTGTGCGGGGCCGATGCCAATGCTGCTCCTTAACGGGCTTAGCACCACATAGCCAACACCAGCCATGATATGAAAGGGACACCTGACAAACTTAAATGCATCTTCCTTCACAACGACAAATGTGTGGTTCAGCATGCTGCCACAATTCATGCGACCTTTCAGCGCGTGCATGCATGTCCTGTAGCTCAAGCCACGCCCGCTCTCCCTCACATGTATAAATGTTCGAGCAGACAAAGCTTCGAAGGAAGCAGCAAGCTTCAGCTGAGCTGCAAGTCGCAGTGGAAGATATGATGACCTGCGCAATGTAGCGACCCCAAGCCTACATTGACTCAACTGCCCAGGATTCTGGCCAATGCTCCATCCTGCGTGTCCAGAATTCCCCCAAATGTGAACAGTCGGAAAGAGTTCTAGGCATGAGCAGAAAAGGATCTTGAGGGCAGCGGAAACTGCGCCGCTCTCAACCCATCACATCACTTTGGACTGCCAGCCCCAGTGCTTTCCTCTTCAATGTCTCACTAGCAAGTTGTGAGCGAGTGCAATGGCTTGAACTTTTCTCTAGGTCCAACCCAAGTGACTCGAAGCGGTGAAGCTCAGGCAACATCGACATGGGCCATGGAAGCCTACCTGAGAAATGGGTCAAATGGGTCCTCGCCCTTGGGCCTAGCGGCCCAACCAATCGCGCCTTCTGGCCAAAGGTGCTCTTGGCTCAGACGACAGTCCTTGCTTCAAGGCACTCAGAGTGCGCTTCTCACTCGGCAAGAACATGTTGAACAGATTGGATTGGAAACTGTTTTCCTTTCTTGTATATCCCTGCAACCACTCAAGCAAGCCGGAATCCAGCTTAGTTCTGAGGAACCTCTGGGCAACATGCCAAGAATGGCTCGGATACTGCGCTCTCATCAAGCTGTTTACGCCCCAGTGTCGGTCTTCCACATGTTGATCATCCGCTGGGTATCTTTATTCTCTTTCGCATCTGGTCGCTGCATCAGCTTGTACCTCAGTCTTTGTCTCATGTCCAAGTTCAAAACAGGGATTTGCAGCTGGTGGTCCTTTGCGATTCCCCGTGCACTGAAAGACCCCGGTGCGCGCCTCGTTGTTGCTTGCTCAGCAGAACCGGATCTCCATAGAGATCTTGCTCCAAATTTTGAGGTGCGAAGACAGGAACTCCGTTCACACGGGCAAACTTGCTCCCTGGGACCTGAAAGCTGGTGCCGGCTCAGGCAGTTCTATCAAAGCCTGTCAGAATTGGCTATCACTCTTTTTCCAATGTCTCGAAATTAGCCTGCCCGGTTTTTGGCTTCCATGCAAAAAGCCACGGACACGAGTCCACTATAGACTCCCTTCTCAACAACACCCCATCCCATAGAAGCTCAAACGGCACATAGCCCGACCTCGATTGTGATCCCCCCCCCCCAAAAAAAAAAGAGGAAAAAAACTGAAGGGGAGAAAACACAAGTCCCCCCTAAAAGAAAGAAAGAGAAAAAACAAGCGAGTCCCATGGTTTTTTCAATGGCAAGTGGCACCAGTGGGTTGAAGCCTTGGAAGAACTCCTCCGGGCGTTCCAGAAGCAGCCGGTAGCCCTCCGCGCTGTAGAGCGCCACGTGGGGGGCCCCCCGGTCCAATGCAAAGAGCGCCGCAGGTTCCAGGCCCAACGTCTGCTTCAGCAGCAGCGCCACCTGCCGAGTCCAGTGTGTGAACTGTGGTGTTGAGAGAGGGCAAGATCCAGTTACAAAGAAAAATGCGTGGTTGACAAACGAAGAACCTGAAGGAGGCTAGATGGGAAGACCAATTCCGCATAGGGACCTCTTTGTGGGGCGCAGCGGGGGAACAAACCTTTGCCACTCAAGGTCATGGCCTGAATGACTGAGTGGCCTGAATGACTGAGTGACAGTGGCGACCAAAATCAGTGCAACTTGCGCCTCGATCATCACCTGGCAACCCATGGAATGGCCCAGCAGCGCGAAGGGAGCTCCTTCAAAGCTGCCGCCCTGATGGGTGAGCAGGATTGCACAGCATGACAGACGGGGCTTTGCATGCTGCCCTGCTTTGCTCATCCCTGGCCAAGAAGATGCATATCATACGTGGTACTTGTTTGGATTGTCCTGTCCCCCCCCCCCGGCCCGAGGAAGACACGCTTGAATTAGTTCGGATCCACCGATGGAAACGCATTTGCTGCCCTTCCAACTTGGGATTCATCAGAAAAAGGAGGCGGTCAAGGAGTGCTTTCCCGATCGGTCAATTTTCACCCTGGCTTGAATGCTGAGGGATATACCGCATTGCTTCACCAAGGCTCTGCATGTGCGCGCAGGACAACTTTACTTGGCGCTCACCACGAACACAAGAGTTCCGCAAACAGTTGCTCCCCCGAAACTAGCAACCCACCGCCAACTGGGTCCAGCCAAACTATTGATTAAGGAAAAAACATCACTCCAACCGTAGCATCAAGTCTAGCTGACCTCGCTGCGGAATCTAGACAACAATATGACGGCCATCGAGAAGGATAAAGTAAATATGGTAAATGGCTGTTAAAAGTAGTGGGACCCCCCCAAACAAAAGCAGCTGTTGAGCTGGGTTGATACTTTGGGTCATTTTCGCGCCAGGTACCTGGGCCCCATTTTCTCGAGCCCGTTGAGCCGGCACTGAATGGCCACGAGGCGAAAGTCGTTGAGCGGGGAGACGCGCTCCAAAGTGAATCCTTCCGCTTCGATCATGGCCACGAACTCCGAGACCCGGCGTTCGCGGCCGCCATAGAGGACCCACAAATACAAGTCATTCAAACTCGACCTGGCGGTCTGAGCAAGTTTACTGGCATCATCAGCCTCTGGCACAGTTTGTTCGATAATCAATAGGCGCTGGCATGAATCAGTGCCAGTATCACCTTGCAGCATTGCACGCCGAAGATTTCCGAGTATCTTGTGACACTGTAGGTCGTTCCAGTCGTGAAGGATCCATTTCAGCACAAAAACATCTCCAATGCAGGGTATGTCATCAAAAAAGCTCCCATTCACCAAGGATGTGCGCGAAGCGACCGTTGCATCGCTGCGAAGCTCCAATGCAACGGACTGCCAAGAAAGAACTTCTGGGCGATCAAACAGCACGCCTGTCCACTCCTGATGTCGTGCAAGAATGGCTGCCAGTAGGTGGCCCATCCCGCCGCCAACGTCAACCACCACAGGAGAGCGCCTCCCCTTCGCGGTGGAGGAAACGTCTGCCCAAATCGGCAAATCGGCAACCAAAGAAGCAGTGCTGAAGGAATCTGCCGCGTCGCTTTGCGCAATGCTCAGCTCGCGCATCAATTCGTCAAAGTACGCAGATTCTTCAGCATGGGAGGGTTCAGAGTAGTGCTCGAATACACCACGACCATGCTCCATTTCAAACGGGTTCTTGCCATTGGGGCTTCCTGCTGAAATTGCCTCCCTAACTCGCCACCACGGTCGAACTTGTGCTGGAGAAAAGTTAACCATCACGAACGCGCGTGCACGGCCGTCTTTGCGCAATTCTGTTGACAGCTCTGTGTGGCGATACAAGGGCTCACCAGACTCATCAACTTCATCCACTATGTTGCAGGCTGCCAAATGATGAAGCAACTGCTGCAGGACAGCCGCAGAGCAACCAAAATCAAGCGCATTCGCCTGGCCCTGCCGGAGAAGCTGAGAGGCAGAAATTGGCCTTTCAGCCGGCAAGGGCATGATATCCATGAGGCCCGTTGATGTGACTGCATGCAATACAGCGGCCCCGTGCGTTTGGTGCAGCATGTTGTTCAGCAATCCCTGGGGAAGTGGCGTCGTTCCAGAAGACTCAGACCTCTCTGGTTTGTCCTCTCTGGGAAATAATCGACTCCCTGCTACAAAGGATGCTGCTGTCCATGCTAGGCCGCCTAGCAGGTCTGAAGACTGAACAGGTTCACTCAGCGCCAAGGAAGGTTGTGCCACACATAGAACTGCGACAAAACATCCAAGCAAGATCTGAGGTACGCATGGGCCTTGCATACTTGCCCCATCCAAGTCCTCACAACGCTTTCTGTACGGGGAGAACTTCTCGTGACCCGGGCCTTGGCCATGCCAAGCGGCCACAAAACCCTCACGGCTTCGCCGGATCGATGGACAGCTCCAGGCGCTAGACAGGAGCAGAAGCAACAGGCGCACGCGACGGCAGGTCCGACGCACGCCAATGGCATGGGATGTCATAAGGTGTTTGCCCGACAAATAGCTCAAAGGTAGCACCTAAGGGGGTTTTGTCCTATGGGGGCCTTCTTTTGACAGCACCCACAAGACGATTCCAAGATGAGTTCCCTGCACCCAGACAGCATATTGTGCCAGTTGACCGTTCCTTGTTGCGTACGAAGCCAACGCTGCAGTCCACAATGACACTACAGCACTCGGAAATCGAAGCTTTGCTAAACCAAGGCAGCCGAGGGTAGACTAGCAAGAACTTCCCCCAGTTCGTGGATGTGGCGGTTTGATACCATTCAAATCTACCATCTCGTTCCATTGGAAACCTCAGCCGTCTATGGCCTCCCAGTCTGGCCTGAGCCCCCCGACCAGAAGATACAAAAAGCATCACCCAAATGGAAGAATATGTGCTGCTCTCAAAATTCTGAGGTGTCCAAATTATTTGGTCCAAAATCATGCCCTTCGAAGCCAGAGCCAAGCTCTTGTCACCAGAAAACAGCTCAGTGTTCTCAGCCGACTGAAGACATGCTCCCTGAGTCAAATGCAGCTCGCCCGGAGCCTTGGCGTGGTCCTCCAGGATGTGCTTCAGTGCCTCAAAGGCATCCTGGCACATGGCAAGGGCTGTCTTCAACTTGCTGGCTCAGCAGGAAATGAGGGAATGAAGCTGGGGATTCCCTTACAGGAAACCACAAGGGATGGTTTGTAAGGGGTCATTCCCTCATTCCCTACTGAGCACCAGCAAGTAAACTCTTAGACCTTGCCAAACGACCCATAAAACCAATCGACAGCAACCCTCCACCAACAGAGTGCGTTCCTTGGCATCATCCACCAAGCGCTCGGAAAAGGGCTCTGAGGATCGCTGGCCGTGTCCTCGCCGCTCGAAGATGGCCAGGTCAATCCAGGCAGGGACCTTCCAAAACAGGCAGGCAACATATTCCAGTTGCCTCCAGCCCATGCAGCAGCACACATAGATGCAAACCATGTTCATTGTTCCCGTGCTGAAGTTCGCACCAACTTGGTGGCTTACCATCGCGTTGTTTTGCAGACCAGTCCAAGGGGGGCCCGGTTGATACCAAATCGGAAGGCTTTTGCAAAGCTTCCAGCCAACCAATAAAGATAGACTGACAGGCTGACAGACAGGCAGGCAGGCAGGCAGGCAGACGGGCAAACAAACACAAACGGAAACAGCCACAAACAAACAAAGGCGCGAACAAACAATGACACCCGGCCTGAGGCTGCAACAAAAACGCAAACAGAGACGCAAACAAACAAACAAACAAACCAACCAACCAACCAACCAACAAGCAAACAAACAAGCAAACAAACAAACAGACCTGTGGGTGGTTTGTCCAGAAATCTCTGAACCGGCCACTTTGAAATTTGCTGGGTGGTTGGCACCACCCAAAGAAAAATCGGCTGCTCAACAGAGGAGAGGTGGACCTCAGTCCCAGCAAAAGACTGCAAACACACTAGCGGGGGGGGGGGGCATAAGACACACCCATCTGCTCACATCAGCCGGCCTGGTTCACGAGTTGCACCCAGGCAGCAGCACTGTCACCTGCACCGTAGAACACAAAGAGCCTCACCCGGGTGTTGAAGGTCTCCGTGATCTCCAGCTTCAGCGGCCTCCAGGTTTGCAACCGGCGAAAGCCATTCTATGAGATGCGGGTTTCACGAACACGGTCCAGAGCGAAGTGGACGCTACGCTCCACAACTCAACTCGAAGCCCTGTTGCCCCAAAGGCGGCTTACTGGCCACTTCTCTTCTTGAGCCCCTTCAACGCGTTGCTGGCATTGCGCTAGACATGCAAACGAGTCAATGTGTGACAGCAGCTACGGGGTCCGAGCGTCTGCAGGTACTTGTGAAGATCTTGCCGCGCCGGCACGTGTCTCGTGGCGTCGTTGGACAGGTTCCGCATGGGCGGCAAGGTCCTTGCAGCCAGGCAATGGCATTTGCGTTGTTGGGGCATCAAAACTTGCCACAAGGAGCTCTTGCAAAATAATTGCTCGTGCATTGGTTGTTCCATATTCGGCAAACATCTCTTGAAACGCAACCAACCCCCAACTTCCCCGCCCCCAAAGCCCCACCTGCCGACCCCGAACCAAGCCCCAAACACGCCACCTTTTCGCCCCAAACATCCGCCCGCCCCCGGGCCGCCCCCTGCCGCCCAACCCGCCCCAATACCCAAACCACCCCTCAACCACCAGACGCTGGCGCGCAGGCGCACAGACTCTCACCTCTCTGTCTCTCTGTCTCGCTGTTTCTCTGTCTCTCCCTCTCTCTCTCCCTCTCCCTCTCCCTCTTGCTCTCTCTCTCTGTCTCTCTTTCTGTGTCTCTCTCAGTGTCTCTCTATGTTTCTCTCTGTGTCTCTGTGTCTCTGTGTGTCCTGTGTGTCTCCTTGTGTCTCTTTGTGTCTCTCTGCGTCTCTCTGTGTCTTTCTACGCGCCTCTCTCTCTCTCTCTATCTGTATCTCTCTCTCTCTCTCTCTGTCTTTATCTCTCTCTCTCTCTCTCTGTCTCTCTGTCGTCTCTTGTCTCTCTGTCTCCCTGTGTCTCTGTGTCTCTGTCTCTCTGTCTCCCCAAACACTCCAACCGTCTTGCCCACTGCCCTAGAACCACCGCGCAAACACCCCACCTCCCTGCCGCCCAAACAACAACCAAAACCCAAAGCCTCAAAAAAGCAAGCCCCGACCTAGCTAACATCTTCGAGCCTCCAGCGCCCAACCTCCGCGCCCGCCTAAGACCACCGCCCCGACCCCCAAGCCCAACAAACCCAAGTCAACCTCCCCGCCCCACCCCTCACACCCCAAAACCAGCCCCGAACCACGCCCCCATCACCCCGCCAACCGAACCCAAGCCCCAGCCTTCCGCCCGAAACTGAACTGCCCGAGGCGCCCGCCGCGCCACGGCGCCGGCGGATCCGGCGCCCCCAGCAGCAGCCGCGCCGAGTCGTCGCCCTCCGCCAGGCGCGCCTCCGCCTCGGCCTGACGAGAGCGCCCTCTCATTCGTCACAAGGAAAAGGAACCCAACGAGCCCAAAGTTTGAAAGCGAAAAGTGCTTGGAACCAAATCAAAGGGGTTCGTGTGGCCCGAAGCTTGTAACACACGGCTGGAGCTGTTGCAGTGTTCGCCGGAGAAACAAAGCAATGGAGCAAAGCCACTGTGCTCGCGCGTGGCTCTCAGCCTCCATGTCATCAAAGTCAAACGCCATTGCTCGCTGCAGACAGTGGCTCAAAACTAAGGACTCCTTTTGGATGGTCCAAACAGATTGGAAGCACGATAGGCCCCTTAATCATTTTGACTCACACACGCCTGTGAAGGTAAGGTTGTGATGTGCCACTCTTGCGCACTGTCTTGGGGCAGGTCGATGTCGATGCTTGTCAATGTTGTGTTCCATGGCCGAAGCTCTTCACGGGACACACTTACTTGTTTCTGGGAAAGGACATGGGGACATTGGGCTGTCCCCTTGCTTGTTGTGGGTGGAACATTTGGCTTGCCCCCCCCTATGTCCTCCCTATGTCCTCCCTATATAAATTGCCCGACCAACCAACAGTAGACTAGCAACTGATTGTAACCGTACTCCAAGTCAAATGTTTGTTCTTGTTTTTATGGCGCGCTCATCATGTTGCATGCGAGGGTTTATTGGATGGGTTGGATACTTTTAGTACTTCCTCACCTCAGCTCAAGCCGAAAGCTGCCACATAATTAGCACGTGCCAAGGGAAGCCGTTCGCGTCAAACAGAAGGGCACAGCGGAGATTCGCATGGTTGATGCTCATTGCATAGTTGAACCCAAAATCATTGAAGCCAGCAACAAACCGACCTCTGCATCTGGTTTCACGTCTCAAGGGATGCCCCCAGCTGCCTCTCCGACTGAGGCAGGTGCCCAATGCCGTGTCAGCCTCAGCCGCGAGATCTGCAGAGCTTCTGGACCCTGTTCTTTCGGCAGCTCTTGGGACAAGTGGCGCGAAACCAAAAGACATGGCAAGCCGCAAGACATCCAGGCTTCGCACCTGCAATAGGGTTACTTCCTAAGTTGGGCCATCTTGTTTTGGCAGGTGCGGAAACGCAAGCCATTTGTGGCGGGGGAGGGTACGCGCAAGAAGCAGCCGTTTGTGTTGCAGTCAACGTGCATTGCGCTCTGAATACCGGGTGGTTGCTTCAATTCCGGTCCAAAGGCTAACCAGCATAGTGATGCATTTGGGCTTCCAAACCCAGGAATTCTTCTTTTTAATAAAGGGACTGTGAACGATTAGAACCAACCACATCCATCTATGTTCACCCAAGCTCCAAAAGGGACGGGCTCCTGAGGCTAGCACGTGGCGACGAGCCATGGCATGATGTCCAGCCTCGCTCGCAACTGGATGGCCCGAACTCGCCCCTTCCAAAATGGAGCGGGTCCAATCGTTCTATGCAGAAAGCTGCAAACTTCACAAAGACTTTTTTCAGAAACGGTGAATACACCATTGGCAGAGTTTCCTCATGCCTGACACAATGCCAAAGTGTCACGTGTCTCGCCTTGCTGGCACAAAGCGAAAGGTTCAAGTGCAGACCCACCAGCTGGCTCCTTCTCTCCGCCACCTGAGGAACATGTTCGCATCTCTCAATTGCCCGTGGTGAGGCAGGTGGTTGCAATTTGCAAGACAGGCATTGCCGAAAGGTTTGGGTTACAGCAATTGGCACCCGGGCCAGGGCACTCTGAAACCACGCCCCTAAACAGAAGACAAGGCAAGGCAGGCAAGTTGGGGGATACTTTCCTGAAGGGTGCTGAGGCGAGGCAAGTCAATCTGCCCAGGCCTCCTCTTCTGACATGCCCTGCAAGGGATTCTCGCCCTGACCAGCTTCTCGACTGTAGGCTCCTGTCAAGACAAGGCCTTCTCCGCGCTTCAGAACAGTGGTTCAGGTTTGTTTCTTGATAGGGCCTCTCCTGTCACATGCGCCGACACCAGCCAAACATCAATATGCTACAAAGGAGATCGGCGCCTTCTAGGCGCCGAGCGCTTGCGGGCTGAGCTGAGAGTACATGGCCGAACTCCTTTACAAATGGAAACTGTGTGATTTGCTAGCACATAGCAACCCCCAAAGCTAAGCTCGTACGCGCAAATTAGTTGATCACGTCAAGCATCTGTGGGTTCTTGCACGCCTATGTGAACCCTCCCTACCAAGCAGAACCCTCCCTACCAAGCAGACTGCCTACGCCACCACAATTGAATTTGGGTCTCTATTCTGGCTTAACTTTCTTCAAAGCTACTCAAGAGATATGTCACAACGTTTCACGATGATCAAAATCGGCACAGACAAATGGTCAGTTTCAAGCCGGCTTCTCTTCAGAAACCAGCAAGAGGGCAGCCGGGCAAGTTCCTATTGTGAGACAGAGAGGGCTGGCTTGCTTAGCGTTCCCAGCCCGCCAAATGTCAGGGTGAAAATTATGGAGATGGAATGTGTGGTCAACAGAGTCAGGTGCAAATGATCTGCAAAGAGACTGAAGGCAACCGGAAATCCAAATTCAGAAGCCCGGCTATTGCGCATTAACTGGTGGGGAGCAGAATGAAAGGCAAGCATCCCAACTGCAAATGGCACGCGTCATCGATGCACCAAAGACTTGTCAATCCGCGCTACATATGCGCCCCAACCAGGTTGGACTGCTGAGCAAGCCACTTCACAAGCAATGAGTGGGTTGTTGCGCGGAAAAACAAACACAAATATTTCAGAGGGGCTCTTGGAACCCACGATCTGTGCATGCGTCGCCATTCAAAAGGTGGAGTCCCTTGCGCACGTTACCCGACGTTGCTTACGGAAAAGGGTCCCGGGACCTCGAGGGTCCACATTCTGGAGATCCCACAACTTCCGATATGGCTGTGGCTCAAAAAAACTGCACCAAAATGGAATCCTGGTAAGTGGAAACATGGACCAAAACCAGCGGTTTGCCCCTCCTGCTTAATTTGGAGTCACACCCATATGTGAAGCGCACCTTGAATGTGGCCGCGCTCCGTGGGGAACAGCACCTGGCCAACCGGCCGATTTCATCTGATTTTGCCCTTCAGGTGAGGGAAGCTTCTCCATCTCCGGCTTCAGCACATCTGCAAATTCAACACAAGCCCAAGCTCGAATGCTGTACAGCTGGAGCCCAGCAACGTTCAAACTCTCTTTCACAACTGCTCAGTCATTTTTATTGATCTATTTGGCAAGTGCTCGACTCATTCACGGAATGGTCACACGAGCCGTAGAGCCAACGGAGCCACCTTGTAGATTGCGCTCCGCCGCACGGCGTCCAGCCTGACAGTCCAACGACTTCATTCGGAACTGACAGTCTAAAGGCAATGCCAAGCAGGTGAAAAGATATCGCCCAGCACAAGCGAGGGCGCTTTTAAGCTCAAAAAGACGATTCACAGGCAAGAAAAAAAACATTCACCTGTGTTCTTGGCCTGTGAATCTTGGGAAATTTTCTGTGAATCAATATTGATTCGGCTTGGCCTAACGCATCTTTGGATCCGGAAACCACGTGGCTGCCAGGCGCTCGAGTTGCTGCCAGGCGGCGCCCGGAGATAGGCTTCCTCCGCCTCCTCGAAGCGCCCCATCTTGGCCAGAGCCTCGGAATCATAGGTGTCCTCTTTGGAAAATCGATGGCCCTGGCAGATGATTGAACCACCAGGTAAACCACGGCCTTCTATTTTTTAAGCAAAACAACCAGAAAGGACACCTATGCTCAGAATGCCAGCCCAGAGCTGGGAATCCATGTCCTTGCGAGCGGCTTGCTGGACATAACTTGCTGGTGCTCAGTAGGGAATGAGATTCCCTGAAAGGAAACCACAACAAATGGTTCATGGGGCGTCGTTCCCTCATTCCCTGCTGAGCACCAGCAACATACGTGCTAGAAATTTCTTGCATCTTGGTTTGAAGTCCTAGGATACACTTCAAAGAATAAAGTGGTTGCACATGTTGACACCATGATGGCGCAAAACACCCTTCATGCGCTATCTTCTATTGAACCTGCAGGTTGCCGATGCAGGCTTCCTGATTTGAGAAGATATCTGACCGTCAGCGAACAGGACCTGTGAAAGGGTTGATTTGAGACAATATCCGACCGTCAGCGAACAGGTTGAAAAGGTTTCTCACGCCCATGAAAAAGTCAAGACTGTGCTTCTGACTTGCGTGAAACAATTGACTTGCACGCTGTTGGCGGTGGACTTTGAAGGAGCATCCACGGAAAAAGAGGGAACAAAGCAACAAGGGTGGACGACAATGGTGGAGGAAAAGGTTGGAGGCACCCCCCTCCCCCGAACAGTGGCGCAGCAAACAGGATGTGGAGGGCAGGCTGGAGGTCTTTGTCCAGCTTAACGAAACATCTGGGCCTCTATAAGTTGCATGGTGGATCAAATCAGTCCACGTCCTTGGCCTGACTCAACACGCCCTCCCGACTCCCATCGCGGCCCCGCACGTTGCCGTGGGCTCGCTCGAGCTCGAGGAAGTGCAGTTGGCCATCCTCCTCCTCGCAAGTCGGGGCCCAAGGACCACAAAACTTGGGGTTTCTTTCCGCGCTGAGTGGAGGAAAACCACATACAACAGAATCACACCGAGAGAGACACACACAGGGACCCAGCTTGCCCTTCCGACATGCTTCTAAGACATGCCTCGCATTCTCATGGCCCGTCCAGCAAGCAAAGATCCACAGCTTCTGTGGCAGCCAGAAGGGCCTGAGGCAAAATGGCGAACCAAACTGCAGCAAAGGGAGTGGGGCTTTGTGGTTATCTAATTTGGGCCACTGCCACCTGCTCTTGGCTCTTGGCTGCCAAAGGGGGAGAGAAAGAAAGAGAGCGAGAAAGAGAGAGAGGTTGAAAGGTGAACTCTGGCTCTGCACCGGCTGCAACCAAGCGCCGGGCAAGCGTGAAGCCTCAGCTCAGAATACAAGAGCCCCATGCCACCAATCACCATATGGCGGTGTTCGGGTACGTCTGGAAATTGGGTCCGCCCTTTGACAGACGTTGGTTTTCAGTTCCCCCCCTCGACACACATGAAACAATTTTCGGGCACATGGACTCTCTCGGCCAAGAAGCGGCCATCCTCCACAAGATTCAGCTCACTCCAGGTGGTGGTTTCACCCTGCAGCATCCAGTCTTCTGGAATCAGGAAGGGCTCCGCCACGCCTGTACGCCGCAAAGACGTGGCAAGTGGCTCAGCGGCTCTCGGGGATCACTTCTCTCCAGGCCCTTGC